AAGTATTAAGAGGTAAAAAGAACTTGATCGGAGATGTTATCATTGCCAGGGGTAGGGGTCATCAACCTAACACGAAAGAGAATCATGACGATTATGCAACAACAGAATGAAAATGTCATTATTTTCTTATATTTCGTATTACAGTGAATTTACCGGCAAATCTGCTAAAAACTTAATTCAATCTTAATTAGTCGAAGGCCGAAGCTTGCTTGCGTCCTTGATATCTTTAACAAGATACTAAATGTAATCAGGGGAAGCACAGATGTTGGACTTCGATGTTATCTCAGTCCTAATGAATGTTTGATGCCGACTGTATCATTTGCACTTGTTCCTCCCTGCAGGTCTGACTGGCTAAAGGTCTTGTAACTCGAACCCTGTATTCCAGTCACCTTCAAACGCACCCGCACCCGCAACCGGACCTGCTCGCGCACCTGTAACTTATAACTCAGCGTCTTTAATGTTTCTCAGTAAAACTTTAGGTCCTAGGCGACATCCTTACATTGTTATTTCATTCACCTTAAAAGTCACGGACCAATTGTTTGAAACCCCGCAGGCATGATCCCCAAGTATGAGCACAGGCCGGGACTACGTTAAGATCGGTACATCAAATATAGAATCGCAGATATAATACAGTGATTTTATCTCAGTTTTAAATGCTTAATGATTCAGAACGTTTTAACGCTGAAATCATTATTAATCATTGCTTACCTTATCAGTGACTCCTTAATAAACCAAATAGATACCTAACGCAAATCCTGATTCTTTGATAGTTATTTTTTAGTGTAATCTGGCTAATAAAACACTGGTTTTGTGACAAAAAGATTTCTGGTGGTTGTGAAACATTCGTTAACAATTGGAATTGTTTATCATCATGATCTTTTTTAGCCATCTTAAATGCCCGGAATTGAAGTAAGCGCCCTATTTCTCTTGACATTGTTGTCTTGTTGTCGAAGAATGCTTTTGAAGAAGTCGGCCGGAGTCATTGTCTCCGCCAGGTTTGTGTTGATGAACCAATATTAGAAAGAAGTGTAAAGATATCAGCATTGTCTGTTTCCTTGGCGTTTTCCATTGTTATCATTTTAAGGCAGAGCAAGTCACTCGATCAAACTAAGCTGATCAAAGAGTCAAAACTTGATGCATTTGAGACCAGAATTAACATACTTGCCTTGTCTTTTTAATTTGAAAAGAAGGCGCTCCAATTGTTTCAGCCAAAGCCACAGTTTGGGCAGGAGTCTGTATCTTTATTTTAGGGATGGGAGATCGGGATTTTTTACATAACATTTTATGTTTCCGATCAAGGGAAGTCTGCGTCATTTCTTTCAGAATTTAAAACGCTACTCAGGTGGTTGAAGGATTGGGAATTTGGGAAGGTTCCCTCACCACAGTTACTGAGTTTTCCCTCGGTCAGACACTATTTCTTATGCTGGAAGCATTTCTTTTCAGACGCGTTAAAATAGACATTGATATCCTGATGATGGCACGAACACTGGTTAAACAAGTTCGAAAGAGTTCCTGTTGGTGTTTCGTGACGTAAACAAAACACTTAAATTTTTTTACAGCACAAATGCAGTCTACTTTAAGGAGCAAGCAAGTGTAGAGCTCTTTCTCCTTCGCCCTTTGCAAAGAGTTAGGAATTATACTTGACAAAAACATTTCTTTTGATTCTCATGTAAATCATCTATCATCTTCACTGTTAGTCAAATTTTGTCAAATTAATAGTGTACCACACCTATTTACGAAACACGTTCCTTTAGTCATCTTAGTGTGTTGTGACAGAAACTCATAAGGGGTTGAAACGTGTAACTCTCATATGTTTGCTTTGTCCGATGCTCGTGATTATTCATTTTCGAAATTACCATATTTGGAACGAGAAGAAGAGATAACTGACCAATCAAACTTCGTAAACAACGTGACGCAGTTTTACTTCAGGTTCCCGCGCCCGCTTAAAAAAATGGCCGACTAACGGGGGAAATACTCCCGAAAGGCGAGAAAGCTTTGAAAGGTTGAAACCAGGAATGTTACCGAAACACTGAGCAGGATATTGCCTTACCACCCGGGCCAAACGTAACATTACGAAACCCTTTGACGTCCTCGCAACTTCTCGAAGTTCAGTCACTTCAAAAAACGATGCCTCGTTGACCCTCTGCACAGTAAACTTATAATGCAAATAGGCTTTTAAAATTCTTATATTAAAAGTCTATAATAAACAGTAAAAAATATTTTGGAATAAAATTTATTAGCTGCGTATCGAAAAGTGTCCAAAACCTGAACCTGACACCTTGGCAAAAAGTGATGCGTGTGATGAATGTGAGAAGCATTTAAGCTTAAATTCAGCTTGGATGTTGTAGTCATGATCGTGTTTTGAGCTACGTTTATGAATGAACAAACTCAAAACAATAGACAGAGAAGTCGTTTCTTGAAAATTTTTATTCAAAATCCAAAAAGTTAATCCTTTAAAGCAATTCGGAAAACACTATCTCGATCGTGGATCCGTTCACGCAAGTGAAATCGGCTGAGCACATGGCAAAATTCAACACAAAATCCATCTCAAATCGGGGCACATTTTGTAATTTTTCTTTAGCGCCGAAGAGAAAAATTTATAAAACGTCTATGAGACATTTAAAAAGTCATAAATTCCCTTTCAAAAACGTAATTGTCTTGGCTATAGAGTGCAAAATGTACCTGAAAATTCAGCAAAAACTTCACTGCCTTGGTTGCATTTCAAAACAGACCAGAGATCCGTCGTGAAGAAAACAAGGTTGAATTCCTCAAAGGAAGATTTCTTGATGAAAAGCTTCCCTTCTTCCACAAAAAGAAAGCTGAGCATTCTTTTTAACTTTCTCTTTCCATTTTATTTTATTTGTCATTTTATTTGTGTATTTTTAAGCCTGAAATGCAGAACTCTTGTCTTAAAACAACTGCATGGTGATCGCGCGGCAGCCATTGTTTTGAAAATGGATATCTCAGTCACTAAGGTTTCCAAATATGGTAAAAGTGAATATTCACGAGCATTGAACGCGAGTTACACGTTTCAACCCCTTATGAGTTTCTGGTGACCAGTATTAGTATGTGTAATTCATGTTCATTACACGAAGTAGGCCCAGGCCCTTTGTTTACCGCGGGCACCTTCAGAATAATAAACACTTGGTTATCAGGATGTGATCAGAGTCTCTGCATAGTGTTCAGCAAATCATTTTACTGTTATATCGTGGGGCTAACAACAACACAACAAACTGCAGCTTATATTGCAGAATTCATTGTCGCCAGTATATTAACTGGAAAAAGAAAATTTCATAATGATCATATTTATACAATCTTTAGAGAACCTGGGTGGTTACATAACCATGGTTTATAAAGTTTTGCTCAAAGTTACCTTTAGCCCATGCTGGTTAGATGAAGCGTGAGTCATAAGCAATCTTTATTCATTCTTCCGAGCTGTTCAAGGTGGCTCCGTTTTTATTACAGAAGCAGTGGTATCCCTATGACGGAACTTGTCACAAAAACGTTTTCGGTTTCAACGCAGCGATTTTTTGAAACTGAAGTTTAGTGGATCCTACTTTCTTAAGATAGAAAATCGGCAGAAGTTTTCCCAGTGCTTGTTAGTTCCTATTGCTGTTAAGAACGAAAATGCGGTCCCTCCTTTCCGTCCCGCATTCTCTCCAGTTTCCCTTCGGCTGGCCTTTCATTTTTTCGTTTGCTTCGCTCGATTAATTTGCTCGCTCGTGCGGCTATCCTGAGGGACAGTTTTCAGTCTTCAAGTAAGTGTTAAAAGCAAGCTCCGCTTTTGGACTAGGCTTCATCTATACAGTGACTTGGGGATGTATACTTTCCTCTTTAATAGGGACACGAAATGTTTCTTCTTGCTATAAATCGTTTATTAACGAATAAATCATATTGAAGAAAAAAAACACACATAACCTATTTCATACACAGTAAGAGAATGACTTAAGACTAGACTCTCTTTAAGTAGCCATTTATGTTCCACGTGGCGTTGTAACTGCAAAAAATATGGCAAAAAAATTAAATTAAACTCATCACCAATAGATGAGCATGGGCGTTGGTGCCTACAAAGTTGGTGGAGCCGGGCATGCTCTAGCATGAGGAGGAGGTATCCATGGCAACCCTGCGAGCGGCCCCCACCGGGCACCGTCACACTGAACAATTCAGTGGAATAACCAATACTTACCTAGCCGATACCTCAAGAGGGGGGGGGGGGGGGGGGGGGGGGGGNTCCCCCCCCCCGCCGTCCCCCCAAGCCCATGTAAACAACACAACAAAAAACAACGACTTCTTTTATTAAAACAAAAAAAAAAAAAAAAAAAACCAACCCAGAGGCAGGGGGGTGGGGGTTGAGGCCGAAAGAGGGGGGGGCGCGCGGGCGCCTCCATGAGGGGGGGGGGGGAACCCAGGGCCCCCCCGGCGGCCCCCCCCCCCGGCCCCCCCCCACAAAAAAAAAAGGGGGAAAACACAACCTTCTGACAGGGGGCAAAAAAAGGGGGGGGGGGGGGGGGGGAGACGAGCGATGGGAAAAAAATAAAGCACAAAATGTTACGCAATTGCAACAACACTTTGCGAAGAACTGCAAGCAAGCAAGTGCGTATATAGGTTACGAGGTGCCCCTGCTAGAGGCATCGGGCCACCCCTAGTATAGCTGGGGAAACTGCTGACCAGCATTGCTTCGAAGTTAACTTTGCCTAAATTACATTTAGCCACATTAAAAAGGTTATCTGAAAAGTACATTAACTATCGTAGAGACACGATAGTCACGCGTCCATGCGACCATAGTGAAACCACGAACCGAACCTTTAAGAAAGTAGACAAATAACAAATTGCGGTACCTTTTTTCAGTGTAACCCTTATTCCAATTTACATTCACGAGTAAGATCAAAACATTCGAAATGATTACGACATACCTCCTGCACAATAGTCAAATTTTGTTGTCAACAATTTTAATATAACATCAGATAAGTGAAAGCTAATCAAAACAAAGAATTTATATCTTACCCGTAGAAATCGGTGTATTTCTGATCCACAGAGTATCTATCTGCGCGACCTGTCAAAAATTTCCTGAGCTCATTCAGCTTATTGGGGCCAATCTCGTCATAACCGAGGTTCTTTACAAGACCTTGATTAGAGATGTATGGAGTCAGCGGATTTGTATCCTCAACACAGATATAGTCACCAGGCTCTGTGAATTTTTCTAAATATTCCAGAACTCCTGTCAGGTTTACGTGTGCATCTTCTATCACAAGCCATGGATGTTGCAAATTCTGTTGGAGAACATTAAAAATCAGGGAATATATCATACTCAGCTACAGCTTGTAATTACGGCAAACTTGTTAGAGCCTTAGGTATACAGTAAAAATCCAATAGTAAGACCCTCAGTGGTTTTAACGACTCGCTATTTTGCCAGGTACGTCCCCTCTATACGAAAACCTGTTAAGCCTAACATATGAAACAGGTTCTTATTTTCTAAAATCTATCTAAAAAATTCTGTACACTGGGGGCAGGCAAATAAGTTAAGTCAACATTCAGGATCCTCTTGGAAGACATAGATGCCTTATCACTCCTACTTCAATGTAGTTGTATGCAGATTTTATACAAGGAATAAGCCGAATACCGCTAAATACTCTTGGCTACAATGTATTTTTTCTTCAGAATTTAAGACGAAGAACTTATTTAAAAACCTAAATAGCCTAAATTTGTGCTAATTACAATCATGATGTAAGAATCTGTTCAAGCTAACTTGGAAACAAAACTGTTTCCCTTAATTGAGGAAATGCTTATTTTAATTGTTCAAGCATGCACCTTAGGCTCGATAACTGCATTCACGTGTCTAATGATATCATAAAATGACGGTTGTGATTGGTTAAAAAGCATGCGGTATTCACTGACTTGTTGTAGAAAATCAATGATCCCTGTCCTAAATAGAAAAATATCCTGTTTCATTAACAACACATTAAAGATAGAATGGGTCACGTGAACTTTGCAGTAATAATGATTATATTAATGAAAAAATTGTTAAGATGACGACCATAAGCATGTATGATTACAGTATGACTGAGCATCGCTGCCTCTGTCGTCAGTACAGTGGAACCTCGATATAACCAACGGCCAAGGTACTAGTACTGTTCCCCCCTTCCTTCATTCATCCATCCATCCATTCATTCAAACATTTATTCGTTCCTCAGTACCATTTGTTTTTATCTTGCATCAACGCTTGTGAGTGGTCTGCTTAACAGCAGTTACAGACATTTTTAGAGAACTTAGTCTGACTTGTCCAACTTAAACTAACTTGAAAGACTATCTCCATGAAATGCATACCATCAACTGTTACCGAACGTTGATAGAACAAGGACAGCTTGCGGCTGTGTGCCAGAATATTGTCAAACAGAACTCAAGCTTCTTATTATACTTATCGAAAAAGGGAATAACGGGAAAGAAAACTTTTTGAGTACTAAAGAACGCAGCAAAAATTGAGAAGACAAAGAATTACGCCTAGAGTACCCTAAAAAAAAGAAAGCAACTGTCGTGGACCCACATACGACTCATTAGTGGACTCATGAGACAAACTGTTCTCGGAGTGCAGGCACAGCTCACGATATCGAATCGTTGTAGAGGATCGGCGCCGGTAAGCGCTTAGAAAATACTAACGACCACATTGTCTCAAGGTGCCAATCGCTGGAATTTTATAGACTAGCAGAACATTCTAGCATCATGAATTTCTTTTTAAAATCTGAAGAAATAACAAACACAAGCGAAAATCAAACGGAGAGAATGTAGGCTAATGAAAAGCGGGAAGTGTCTGGAAGCGTCGAAGCTTCAATGTTATGGGACATCCTCATCTACCAGCAAAGGGGATAAAGACTTCTCATTACTGCTTATAATGTGAAGAGAAAGAAAGAGACATTTCTGTTCCATCGAAATAACAAGCACACCTCTGACAGTTGCACAGAACCACAAAGCCCTGAAACTAACTTCAGCAGTGAGATCTAGTGGTCACTGGCAGGAGCTCTATGACGTACGACTAAGGGACTTAAAAAGTTCCGAAGAATCATCCTTAGGAAAATAGCTTGAGATGCATGAGAATAGGAGAGCTGACTATGAACCATCCTGGTCAAAACTTTACTTAGATAAAGTTCCCATGATAAAAGACAGCCTTAAGCCCCGTGCAAACGAACGCAACGTTATGGGATACTACATGCTGGATCCGTTTGCTCACCCTTTTACATGTTGTTGCGTGTTGTTGGGAGTTGTTGCATCCGTTTGCACACCACTACCAACACTGACGAGACAACTCTCAATATTCTAAGGCCAACAATATTGGGATTTGTTGCGTCCGTTTGCTCGTAGCTTTACTAATGTAACATCCTTTCGACGAAGCGCTTACCAGTGAAGAAAAGCCGTGATTGAACATTGCGTGCAACCTTTCAGTGTAACTTTAAGATATTCGATGGTTTTGTAAATAGTTACTAATTAATAATAACAATTATTATTATTTATTTATTTTTATATTAAATAATGTCTTTGATTACAGCATAAACCGGAAAATGAAGTTTAGCCGGTACTACGTAATAATTATAAATTACAGTAAAGGTGTACATTGAGCGTTGTTGTCACTGGTGAACACTCTCCAGGACCTCGCTCCAGGCTTCACAGGAAAGAAAAGGTACAAGGCTGTTCTGTTGGCATAAAAGTAAGTTTCAAACGTTTGTGGAACACACATCCCATTGACAACAATCAAAAAAGCGAGCAAGCTAATCTCTTTTCCATGCATTCCATGCACTAAATTTTCTTCTAATTTCATTTTGAAATATAATAAATTTATGAATTATGTGGTAAAGCTTTGTTTGGTTGCAAGATCTCAGACTGTTTAAGTTTGCCAATGGCTTCATGGCTTCCTGTGCACTTATCCAACCTAATCATTTCAACACTGCAAAGCATTGCTGCCAGAAACGTCTATTTTGGAAAAAACATCAACATATTGTTCTTGTTACCACAATGCAGAATTAGTTGATGTCTTTCTATGAGGGGGGTGAATAGGGGTATGCAAATCCGCCGATCCGTGGTATTTTTAGGCCCGATCCGTCGATCCGACTTAATTTTTGTTCAAATCCGAATCCGTGTTACTTGAAAAATTTTTCCTGGTATAAAGAAAGTAGCGTTGTAGCATGAAAAAATGAATTACTTAATATCGTTGTTCTGTAATCGCAACAGATGCGGGACTTCATGTTTAAGAAGTTTTCGTTCAAGTTTCAAAACGTTAAGGTGATTCCCTGGTTTTGCACTTCGCATCTCTTACTGCGCATAACAAGATGGCCTCCGTAAAAAAGAGCATGTGAAGTAACAATATTAAAATGAAGTTGACCGAAGAGAAACGCTATTGCAAATTTTGCTTGCGGTTGTTTCTTGTCGAGGTAAGACTCAGTGTGGTGGGAATGTGCATAACGTAAGCAGTTCGCGTGTTGCTGAGTTCGACTTCCTCACGGAGAACCTCGATAGTGGATGTTTAATTTGTGCTTATTCACTTTGATTTTTATTTAAACGCTTTCTTTATCACATTGTGTCCTAAATGTGACATCTCGATGTAAATTCTGTGAAAACGGATTTTTTAATACTTTCTTCCACCTTTTGCTTAAATTCTATTTTGAAGCACGCCCCAGTCCTCTCTCAAAAATCAAGGAAAATGCATTTGGTGCGCACTTTCTGCAGCTCTACCGCAAAAACGAGTACGGTGAGCCCCATTTTTTATTTCATGATTTTAATAAGGACAGTGCTTCCTTTCGGTGAGAAAAAAAATTGGCACAAATCTATGTTCAGTTTTTTGGCAATTTTACTAAATTGTACGGATTGAGCTACAATCAACCGGTCCAAACTTTCAGCTGACCCGCGATCCACGGTATTTTTCAAATCCGCGAATCCGCTCGATTTATCGCCGAAATCCACAATCCGTGAGCTTTTTAAGGTCAAATCCGCCGATCCGCGAACCTATTGTAACTCAGGGCCATTTTGTACTTGAGTGACTGTTTTTTACTATTATAGCATACTTCAGAGAAAAACTAGGAAGGATTTTTGTCGGGGAGTAGGGATGGCGAAGTGTTAAGAACTCTCGCTTCCCTGACTAATGAAGCCTGGGTTCGAGTAGCCTCCCACGCAGACGTTCTTAGGGGTTCGTCACGCGTGGGGCAGGAACGCGTGACGAATCCTTAAGAACGTCTGCGTGGGAGGCTAGGGTTAGAGTCGACGTCATATGTGGGTGGGCGTTGTTTTTAATTCTCTTCTCTGCTCCCAGGGAATATTATCCAGCTACTTTGGTTACTGCCCTTCCTCCTTAAAAGCAACATTATAAATTATAATTCGCTCTGGAAAGCGTGACTAATTAGCTGGGGACAACAATAGGGCCACAGGTTTGTCAATTACTGAAACTGATAAGTATCACTTTCTCTAAATAACGTTTAATTTTTTTGCTGTTGTTGTTTGGTTCTAGAAATAGCGCCCCTTAACTTTTTCCAAACGTCCTAAAATAAGACAACCGAAAAAAAAATTGATCAGAAATTTTGAGTGAGTGCAGATGATAACAGTAAAACATTTAGCAAAACGTAAAACAACCCTGCGTTTTAAATGCCCTTTTATTAAAATTTTATTACCTTACCTTGAGAAATTCGTCAGGGAAAAACTGTTCAATATTAGACGAGTCGCCTTGAATAAACTCGACATCCTTAGACTTTTTAGCTTCAGCATCAAGTAAGGAAAGATCGATGTCAGTAGATATGATACGAGACTGACAACCGTACATCTTCATCATGTCCGCTAGCCACAAAGCTGAACCTCCTTTATAGGCGCCAAACTCAATAACAGTTCGTGGCTTTAGTTCCCATAGCAACTGCTGGAGTATCGTTAGGTCCAACGGATCTTTCATAAGCGATACTCCTCTCCAGTAGGTCTGGTATTTTCCTAAGGAAATACCGTAAAATTCCGAAAATAAGCCCCTCCATGTATAAGCCCCTCCAAATATAAGCCCCCCAATCCGGTAACCCAAAAAACCCTCCGTTAAATCGCCCCTCCAAATATAAGCCCTCAGGGGCCTTGTACTTGGAAAATTGCCCTCAAATACATGACGTCTGCGTAGGAGACTGTGGACAATCCAGTCGAAGCCCCGGCAATACAGACGTTTTCATTAGATGCGGAAATGCCATTTCTGCTCCAGAAAAAAGTCTGGAATTTTAATCATACTCCCAATATATTGGTATTACCATGACAAAGAGTGGAAATGATATCCAGAGGTAACACTCCACTGTCCTGCCTTTCTTCCATCGAGGCAAATCTTTTCATTTCGCTCAATTCTTTTGTAACTTCTGCCTCCAATTTATGATATTCTGTTGGGTTATGCTCAGCCTCCATAATGATCTAGGAGCAATATTGACAAATCTTGATAAGAAATAACATCCACTGCATAATCCAAGTTGGCTGAATTAAGTGCCCAGATCTAATCAATGCGCTGATCAATTCAAAATTCAACAGCCACCCGCCCCATCTCGAGCCGTTGACTGCTTTCTGTTCCGGGGGGAGTGGGTGGGAGTGGAGGCAAAGAAGCAAAGTTCTTGTGGATGCGGGGCTGTAACCTTTGGCAAAGTTTTTTTGGGGGGTAATTTGAACACGAGAGTGTACTTTAATTTTCCACAGTCGCAATGTTAATGGTCGCTGATAAGGAAAATATGTCATGAAAAGTAAGTGTGTTTTAAGTACTGTTTAAAAACGAGCAGGAGTGGAGTTTTTACTCCTGATAATACACGACTGCGAGGTTTTTGAACGGCTTCAAAATCTCTGATATAGATCGACTCATTCTTGCACAAAAATTTAAATTTGGGGTTGTCTTTATCAGATATAAAGACACTAAGACGGAATCCACCATGAAATTGAGTAATTTTAATTTTCAGTGGACAAAAATCTTGTACCACAATAATTTAAAACATATTGCATTCCTTTTTACATTTTTCAAGACCTAAAGATGTAATAAATCATCTGTAATAATGATTGTCATTGTATTTAGCACGGAAGCACTAACTGGGGACAGGACCGCCATTTTACGTGGTCATCCGAGCCACGCGAAGGTCAAGCCTCTTGCAGTGCAAAGGAGTACCTTCATTTCTCAGTTATCTTAAGACCCTGAGTTGTTGGTCCGGCCCCGGGAATTTAACCCGCGACCTCGCGCTCTGCAGTCAAGCGCTCTGCCGACTGACTTAATCCTGCTGCGGTTAAAATATTCATTCACATGCAAAGTCAAAATTTTTATTAACACTGTTGCTATATTCATTCAACATTTGTTAATGTGCAAAATTCCATATTTCTTCACATTGAACGATTTAATTCTTTTTCATGAATATATTCATTCACATGCAAGGTCAAAATTTTTATTCAACACTGTTGCTATATTCATTCAACATTTTGTACGCACCCCTGCTCTACATTCTGGAAACAAGTGTTTTTGAAGACACAAGGATACCAAACAACGTTTTTCTTGTCTCAGTGGACTTCACTAGCCTATGCACCCCGGGGGATACTAAAAAATACAGTGGAACCTCGATATAACGAACCTTTATATAACGAAGTCCTCGGTATAACGAACGATTTTTTCCCCGAGTAATAGAAAAATATATGGAATAATACCTCGAAATAACGAAACCTCGTTGTAGCCAACAAATTTTGCCAGTCCCTTGGCACTTCGTTATATCAAGGTTCCAGTGTATACGGGGAGGCTCCGCCCAGTGGTCCGACCCCTTACCCTCTTCCTTTTATATACTATTTTGACGGAGAAGGTACCCCTTTCGAACACCTTCTATTGAAGAACGATACCATTTTCACATACCTAGTTTATACCTTTTCAGCCATTTAACTTCTGTAAATGTACTGTCTTTAAGATATGAATAAACAATCACAAAAGCAGAACGTTTTTTCGACTATTCCACAGCCATAAAATAATCTGTCAGCCCTTTTAGGCCTTTGAATAGACCGAAATGACAGATTTCCCTAACTTTTTATATACTTCAACTAGGGTGGCCAAAGAACAAGAAAATTTACGATATAATGAAATCCCTACCCTTTTTATATACCTAAGCCTTAAAAAGGTACCCCTTTCGGGTGGAGCCTCTCCGTATAGGCCATCATAAGGAGTACCCCTGGGCAATACTCAAACATTCCACAAGAGGAAGGGATTTAGTATGTCAAACATACAAAGATTTCCATGAAAGAAATCCTCCTATAGCTACACATTTTCTTAGAGAAATAAAGAACCTTATCCTGAAAAAGAACTCCATCCATTTTAATGGCCAACATTATCTCCAGACACTCGGTAAAGCCATGGGTCGGTAAAATGGCCGTAGCCTTTGCCAATACTTTTGTGGCAAAACTAGAAAAGGAGATCCTAACTGGGGCAAATTACTAACACACTGCTGATATGGAAAAGGTTTAATGACGATATATTATGTTTGTTGGACGCAAATGAAGAATGTTTAGAACTTTCCATTTACAAGCCAATTCACGTCACATTCACGTCCCTTAAAAGCGCACAGTGATCCGATATCACAGATATGCGCGGGAAGGCCGCGGTGTTCTGGACACGTTGTAGCTTACAAATCTGATATTTGGGTAGCCCATACACTAATCTAGTCTTGAGGTCACAAAAACATGGACTGAAGGCATTCCTTTGACAAAAATTTTGAAATTCGACGGATATTATAAATATGATAGAAACAGGCTTTACATATTTAGTTAATAGTGAATTGTTTCCAACATTTCACGAAAGATCAATATTATGATCATCAACTTGCAGACTCAAGGGGCCGAGTTTATTGAGCTACTATCTAGTCGAGACGAATAGAAGTTTCAGTTTTATCATCATTTAGTGGCAACCTTCCATCAATCAGCCATTTCTATAAGTCACGTTTGCACTCCCCTATAGCGCCTCATCTTGTGCGTTATCGTCATCTGCTCTGAAACTGAGGTACAGCTGCGTGTCGTCCGTGATACAGTGAACATGCGGGAGGTGATGCTCGATAACTTTAAACAGCAAGGAAGTGTAAATGACGAGCAGCAAGGGTCCCAGACAAGAACCCTAAGGTACGCCACAGTCAAGCGGGAACTGTCTAGTAGGCGACCCATCGATGGAGACGTGCTGGCTCCGATTCGACAGATATGAGCTGAACCAGTCAAGCACTTTCCCACGTATGCCAACATCCCTGCGCAGTCGCTCCAACAAGGTATTATGATCAACTGTGTCAAATGCTGCGCTTCGATCCAACAAGACCATAAGGGTCACATGTTGCAAGTTCATCTTCAAGAGGACGTCGTTCATAACTTTCAGCAAGGCCGTTTCAGTGCTGTGATATTGACGATGGGACGATTGCAAGTCAGGATAGATTACATTGACGACCATGTGCTCGTTCCTTTTCACTGAAATACAGCCTTTTTGACGAGCTTAGAGATGTACTGCAGATTGTTGACTGACTAACACTCTGAAAAACCAAGTCTAGTCCAAGCTTCTTCAGCAAAGGATGAACTAGCGCACACATCCCTTGATCAGCCAGGTCGACGCCTTTAGTTTTCCTAAATGTCACTGTCTTCTTAGTGGAATGCATCGCAGGCAAGTATTTTTTATTCATTTCTTTGAAGGAAGAATTGGATTTATCGTTGTTTATTTAGCGTTCACAGATCTCAGTCAAAGTCTCCTATTTTCAACGGTCGCCAGGTAGACTTCGAAGCAAATTTTTCTTTCTTTTCATTGGCCGAGAGCCCACCACGTGACCTACAAATAACTGCCTATAAATAATGGTCTGCTCATGCGCAAAGCCGTCCAAAGTGTTTGGCTGCAAACAATATTTTGCTCATGCGTAAAGGAAACCGTGCTTTTCTAGATCTCCTTCTTGCGATCCCTCTTGCGTGAAAATGGCAGATCGCTTGGCTTCCCAAGGATATTCATTAAAAATACAAACTCGGTGAGCGAATGATAAAACAGTCATTGAATTCGGTTATCGCAAAATACCGTGATTTGTCAGTGTCTCGCAGATCAATTATTTGCCTCAGCCTTCGGCTTCGGCAAATAATAGTTCTGCTCGCCACAGACAAATCACGATGTTTTGCTCAACCTCGTCCAACAATTGTTAATTGTGTGTATAAAATGCGAGCCAGCGAGCCATGGCACCGAGCAATGCAGTCCATTGAAGACTCATCAAAAATAATACAAAAACAAACCAAAAACAGTAATACGGTAAACATTAACTGAAAGCTAACGTTGTAAATAAGTGTTTAACTCTAAGCATTGCTTAACCCTAATCCGTAAAATGAAAGCTTAACCCGAGTGCTAAAAGTAACCCTAATCAGTATCATGAGTGCTCAACTCCTCATCTGTAAATTTGCAGTGTTCACTTCTTAACATTATTTTTACCGATGGTTCGCCTGACTTGCATGGCTTGCTGGCTCGCACATTGTCACGTGAGTTTGGGTCGCCTGTGTACTAATGAAGGAATATTTTTTAAAAACAACAAAATATTGAATGAATATTGCGGCAATTTTGACCTTGAATGTGAATAAAGATATGTTGCAAATGTGACCGCTTTATAATAATACAGGTAATAATACAATTCAAAGATTTCGATCACCAGAGCTGATCAGATCAGACGTTTGACCTCAAACAGAAACATTCCTTTCCGGCGTTTTAATGATTTACGAAAATAAAAAAGGAAATCATTTGTTGTACCTCGTGTGTTACATTACTTGAAACTATATGAGCAAGTAATTGACACCGTGTGACTGTTTAATACAGGTCACGACAATAGAAAAAGTTCCTTTGGGACTTCGCAAATGGTGACCGCAACCGCTGAGAGGTGACCACTTATAGAGGTCGAAAAAACAGTAGATCAAGGGAAGCAATTTTCGGGACTTTGAAAACTGACCGCTTAATAGAGGGTGACCGCTTAATACAGTGTCGCTTAACATAGGTTCGACTGTATTCGTAACTGAGAATTATGTCGTTGAATGTGAATTTGTGTACATGTTGAATGGCAAAGTAGTTGCTGAATGCGAATGAATATATTCGTGATGTGAATGAATATGGAATTACAGTAGTGAATTGTGCGGCCACATTAGTGAAACCAACCGTGTCGGCCGGTTACAACAAGTTCGGTCTCGACGATCTTAGGGAATGTGAACAGTCTAAGTTAGCCAGAATGGAGCGCTTTTTCACTTTCTTGGCCTGATAAAATTTTCAGGTTTATATGAGAAAGGGGCTCGCCTACTTGCCAAACAGTCTCCGCTATAAACGTGGCTGACGCACCTGATATAGGCCATAAATATCTAGGCGTTGTCGAGAAATTGTAAAATACCTTAAGTAATAGAATAAAGGACTGTACAGTTGTATACGCTGCAAATGTCATTTTCTGGTGCGAGAAGTCCTCAAAATATCAAAACGTAAAGGGAACGAATTTTTATCAATTTGCTAGGGACAACAGAAAAGCTACTACATGTAGCGCGGATAGCAATCGGATCTCCGAGCAGTTGCAGCTGTCTGCAAGACGTTTAGTCACTTTAAATCACTTTTGGTTTCCTGAAGGCGCCATGAGACGATATTTATATTCTTTAACTCTCTTTAATGAACGTCTCAAATCATACTATGGCGGCAAAGACGAAGGGCATTGCGCAGGGTTGCATAATGTTCAGCAAAAACACATTGTAAGGCAATAGAACTTTCAACCATGACTTATTATCAAGTATACATGATTCCCGGACATGATTCTGCTTAAGAATGACTTTGCAGCTAATATTCTTACCTTAGCTTATCACAAACGTAAGACTTAAACCACACTGCACCTCTTCTCAGACAAGCAACTCAAATAGAATTCGACTTTTTCTCCGCTCCGATGAAACTCGGTTTCTAAAATGCTAATTGGGCCACAGGCTTCCAAGCTCACGTTGCGAGTGTGTTATGTACCCGGGGGGGTACTTGGGTATTTTTTGGGTGGGTATGTGCCGCCCGGGACTCCAAATTGGCACCCCGGTCTAAAAAAATTTCCCCCTAAAATTGATAACCCGTTCTAAAAATGGGCCAATTTTCTATACCCCTTTCTAGAATTCGCCCTAAAACTGATTCCCCGTTCTAGAAATGGGTCCAATTTTTTATACTCCGTTCTAGAAAGTTTGTAAATTGAAATAGCCCCGTTTTTTTAAAAAGATATTTCTTTATTTGTTCGACTTATACATCAAATAAATGCTTCTCCATAATCAGCAACAATTTTAAGCAGAAGGTAAAGCCGTGATCCACAATTTTTTATACTCCGTTCAAGAAAACGCCTCTGAAATGGATACCCCGTTCTGAATCAGGAGCTTCAAAATCACGACCCCGTTGGGCGGCACATACCCGTATAGGTAATGTATGGGAGTACCCCCCGGGGTTATGTAAATTAATTTTCTCACAAGAGAGTCGGTTTCGCGTTCAAGAAGAAACCGTTGAGACTTTGTATTGAGGTCTGCGAACGCTAAATATCATTATTCTTACTTATTTTTCTATAAAATAAATAAAGGAGACTTACCTTTGATATATTCCTGTGTTTTTTTGGTGTGAACACAGGCAGACCACCCTCTGTTAGTGGCGGCCGTTGTTGATTGAACTTTTGTTATTTATAGAAGAATACATATGAAAAATACGGTGGCTATAATTTGTTCCAAAATGCAGAATTTAAAGCAAATTTTTCAATAAAAGTTTGAAGAAAATGTCAACTGAGTCATGTGTCATGTTTTTTTTTGCCGTCCCGTGCTGTTTTAAGCGCTATTTTGCGAGATGAATATTTGACCTCGGCGGTTAGAACTAAAGAAGGACACTTCCTTCTTTAGTTTTAACCTCCGAGGTATGTATTTCATATGTATTTCTTCTATAAATAACAAAAGATCGTTGCTCAGATTTCAATCAACAACGGCCCCCGTCAACAGAGGGTGGTCTGCCTGTGGTGTGAATTGATCGATTTAGTCGGTTTTTTCGCTGTTATTGTTTGACCCCTATGGTGTACATTTGCGGACAAAAATAATTGAAAATAAAATACAATTTGAAGTTCAAAAATTAGACTATCCGTGTCGAAATAGCATCATTCGAACTTGAAGTTACTTTGAACAAGTTGAAACTATAAAGGGAAAACTCGACATCGCGGACTGGTTGAAGTTCAAATCACCATTCCAACTAAAATGCAAATTACATGATTTGAACTTCAATTCACCTTCTCCACTCTAATAAGCTTCTTAATCGTCAACAATGCAACCATAATCTTCCACAAAATTCCAAATGAAATCTTTAATTTGAACTTAACGTCACGTCACATATTCGAAATTTCAAGTCGAAAGGAAGCGAAGTAAAATTACACAGGTACCGGAAATGATTAGAGTTTCGCCACACTGTACGTATGGGATGTTTGCATAACTGCATTTTGGCGCGAAAAGATTTCCCTTCACTCAAACTCTCTGGTCAATATGGCGGACAATGTGAATGATAAGGGTGACTCTAGGACAATCCAAGAGATTGTGAGTAAAATTCGAACTTCGGCCTGACACGGTACCTGGTCGATTTGGCTGATTTTTCGCATATGGTCTGAGAATGGTTTCCTAAATACTGAATGCATATTCTAAGGTTTGAATTCTCTTTGATTTCAAAGATACAGGAATGACAGTTTTGACGAGGCCTCGAGGGGCCGCCATGTTGGTGAACTGAAGGGAGTCACTGAAGGATACTCCGGGCGCGGATCCATACCGGTTTCCACGGTTTTACGGAAATCGGTCAGATATTTCATAATAGATATATTTTTAGCAAAAACTTAAAACTTTCCAAGTTGAAATCTGGAGAATGGTTTGGACAGTCACTAAATATCCTGTCTGAATGACTCAGAAACCCAGGAAATGGGACTTTGGGGAGTTAAAATCCAAAACATTACCCGGGGGAACATTCCCCCAGACCTCCCTAGAACAGGAAATCGGTCAGTATTTATTCTAGATCCGTGCCTGTACTCAGGCTAGCCCCGGCGTACGAGCAATTCACGCTGGAATTAACAACGACTGTTCCGAAACAAATGGCAGTTATCTAAGGGCCAGATTACATGGAAGTGCGGGACCCCAGGTAGGTGAGGTAACATGTGGCGACTCACCCCACCTATCACGAAAACGTGATAAAACAAAAATAAGACATTATATGGACAGGCGGGTTACCTCAGCTACCTGGGGTTCCCTACCTCCATGCAAACAGGCGCTAAACCAAGAATATTCTCATGACGAGACGAAAAAAAAACCATAAAGGTGCTTCAAGTATTTGTAGTAGTCTCTCCCTCACGTTACAAGGAAAACCAAATAATTTCCAATAGTTGACGTAGCCTTCGTTGCGCAATACTGAGTACAAGGGGAAGGGTGATAAGGCAAGGGGTGTGGGAGGGAGATAAAGGTGGCAAAACAAATTGAAAAAGATTTTTAATTTCCAGGACTTGGAAATATATGGTCGTCAGACGATGAATAATCACATCAAAATGCGCCTTGGTTGTAAGAACCCACATACCACAACTGACTCTTAGACTCTTAGACGTAGAATATCCATAGTAAAAAACACGAATTAACGAAATTCACGACGATGGAAGAGGAGATCCGAATAACAAAGCAGACACCACAGCAGAAAAGCTACCAACAGCAGCTTTTCGCCATATAACCAAGAAACATTCAGTTTGAACTGACCACCTTTATTAACTCCTTTTGTTTCATCAAGGAAAAAAAAAATGTTTGCCGTCGTTTGGCGGGTGATCGAATCGGCAAATCCCTTTTAGTTATTTTATAGCTATTAAAAACTTGTGTATAAAAACATTCAGGTAAACAATGAATATAAACAAAAAATAAAATAGCAGCCGAGACATCTAATTATGACACATAATTCAACTCTTCAAATAACTCACGTGAAGACGGAGAGCCAAAATTTCATCTGATTTACATGGCCTAGCAAGGTTAGCTTGTTATTCAAATATTCCCAATTATGTTTGGCTGGACTTCTGTGGCCTGAATTGCTGCGATTAAGACTCGCTGACTTCACTTTTTTTCAAACAAAAGTTTTCGAATATCGGAGATTAAATCGTGTAACAGAAAATGACCACATCCTCACAAGGCAGGTTACCTTTCCTTCGTCTCAAGTCGGATAATAACAACAGAAATCGGCAATGAACTGTACAGTAATGTTCATTTTGTCTTTTATATTTAGACAGGGCTCACCTATTGTACCATAGTCGATTTTTCCACGACTCAGCGCTTTGTGTTGTAAGAATACAGCGCCTACAAGCAATTTTTCAATGTTTCTCCAGACACTAGATACTTGGTTGCGCTTTGCCTGTATTTAACGTCTTTGCAAAGTGAGTTTCCTTTCACAAAAAACTTACAGGCACCACCAGGCGTCTCCTAAAAACACCTGGGTACGAATGTTGGTGCGAGATAGCGACTAGCTGGTTCCAGGCTCTGAGATAGTTGAGAAAGCGCGAACACGAAAATAAAACGGGAGGAAACTGGGGAGAGGTAGGGCGGCTTTTTCCCGCCACTGCCCCCTGTTCCCAGATCACGCACTCATATTTTCGCGCGCCTTTCACTTACGAGTCCATTCCTACTATCTGAGAGCCTGGAAGAGCCTAGATACCGACTAGCTCTGACCACTCTTTTAACACAATAAACGGGGTGTTCATCTCAATCATCAAGTTCATTGGTAACTGAATTCGCGCTATTTCCATTCATCCCTTCGGCGAATTCAACAGGAAAGAGGGACGTCGTAGATCTGCTGTGACCTCGTTTTTAAATAACTGGAAAAATTCGTGACGTTTGATACTGAGCGAGAGCGTAATTCACTTCATAAATAGGACGTAATTCAACTATTAACCAAAGTCATCAGTGACGTCCTGTTATAAGATTCCATGCACGAGGTAAGGTATTGAAATCGTAGTAAAGCTAGATTGTGCCGAGCGACTGCGTGCTCCATAAATTGATTGTGATCTTGGGTTGTGTTATAAGATGCCATTCGTGAGGTATTGGAAGCCATCGTAAAGTTTGGTAGTGAGAGAGTGCATGCTTGTTTCCACCAGTTCATCAATGAAGGAACCAAGCTGTTCCTCCGTCAAGTTCATGTGGAATCTTTCTCTCATTGCTCGCACAGTCGAAGCACCACGGTTAAAGCACGGCAGCTGAGAACCTGCGCACGAAAAAGCAACAGAATAAATTAACAAACAAACAAATAATCACACAGAAGTAATGCATGGCGCAACACAATCTGCGACTTCTACGTTCTCCATAATACAATTTGTCCTCCCCCAAAAACTTTCCACAAATTTTTTTCTCAAGGGACGATTGTTAGTCCCAAGAGAAATTGAAAATAATACTTATGCAAAGTTGTTAGGGGAGGGCAAATTGCATGGATTGCGGTCTTTTTGCCCGAAAGTCGATTTGCCCGAAGGCTTTCGCTAGGACTTAAGTCGATTCACCCGATGACGTACAACACTCTACAACATGGTGAACTTACTTCTCCAAGATTTTATTCTAGTTAACCTTGGATTTCACATATGCAGTCACTGTCTTCCCATGCCTATTCCTTTTTCTCAGGCATAAAGAACGACAAATACACATAGGGTGAATCGACTTAGTCTGGGCGAACTGCCACCCGGTGAATCAACCTTTGGGCGAAACGACCTGATACCAATTGCATTATGGGGAACGTGAAAGTCGCAGTGTACAGTCAAAGCACGTTAATACAGACGTTCAGGGAGCCATAGAAAGTGTTCGTATTAAGCGGGTTGAAATTAATGAAACTGTAAGGACTTCTATTCCCAAGGACAAAACAAACTGTCCGTATAAGCGGGGTTTTTTCTGTATTTAGGGTAAAAGAGAGCGTCTGCTCCTTAAGTGAGTCAGTCCCTTTCCGACATAATAAGAATAAGGAAGGCTGCTGAGAATTATTTAGTAGACACTGTATTCTAAAGTATCGAACTTATCAATTAAGGCTTATTTCCATAAGAGCCGTCTTTCAATTCTCCTGGTACCCTATAGCAACAAGGAGGAGCCCTGAGCCAGGTTCTATAAAACCTTCTTGAGACAATAACCTATTGTTTTGAAATAATAGTTAGGAGTTCCCTGAGCTCTATAAAAATTAACCACTTAACTTGCGATGCTGTACAACATAGTACAATGTGTAGTGTTGGACTGATAAACCCAACCATCCACGTACCTGTCTGCATAATCTCCACCAGCTGGAGACATTTGTCCATATTTTTACGCGCGGCAAGAAAACCTTGAAGCATCAATATTTTGAAGTAATTGTACATGTCGCTATCAACTCCACCCATTACCTAAAAAAAATGCATTGTATTTGATTGTCAGTGTATGTAGCACGAAAGTACTAATTGGGGACACTACCTTTTACGTTTCTTACTGGAGACGGGACCGCCATTTTATGTGATCATCCGAACCATGCAAAGGTCTAGCCGTTTGCAGGGCAAAGGAAACGCCTTTATTTCCCAGTTATTTTAAGACCTCGAGTATTGTTCAATTGTCTTCCTGCTCTGCAGTCAAGCGCTTTACCAACTGAGCTAATACTGCCGCGGTTAAAGGATGAGGAAGATAACGCAGACAATCTGACGTTAAGATACCACGATAACTATGGAGTCTGTGTACTAAGAACTACTAGCGTGTGTTGTCTGTGTGACCATATTAAATGTAACCTGTATAGCAGTGCTTTTTTACAAGGAACATATTGTTTTTCAGTACTTAAGAAACTATAGTTAGGTTTTTTCTTGAATTTTTAATATTGTCACTCCTGAGTTTTGGAATAGTCTCCCTCATTCTATTAAGCATGGTACTAGTGCTCAAAAGTTTAAAAGTTTTCTACACGCTCACTATAAGACCATGCCAAGTTCTTATCGATCGCCATAGTTACTCTTGTAGCACATTCTTACTGCGCACACCTTTATTCCTTCATATACATCCTCTTACGTCCGATTTTAGTATTTTTGTCTTAACCCTTCAAACCCTAAGATCAAGCTTTGAATTCTCATTTGTTGCCCCTGTTCATTTCCTGTAGAAGTAGTGGGGAGAAGTTGATAAAATATCAAGCACATTCATCTTGTGTGATTATGTCCATAATTCTCATGACCACTCTGTTTTACAAAGCATTGATATTACAAGGAGAAATTTGACGCTTATCACTCTTAGGGCTTAAAGGGTTAAAGTCTTGGAGACATTGTAGGGGTTGAAAGTCATTGGGGCTCTTCCCCTGTTTTCATCTTCTGTCAGCGTGCTGTTGTTTGTATACATCTAATTTCTTTCTTGACAGATATCAATAAAACAAACTAAGCTAGATTTGAAGACAAGCAAAACTCACCTCAGCAAACTCCAGAGTGAGTTTGAACGGTGAGCTCTCAAAACCAAGGTTACGGCCGGGAGAGCAAGAAAGGATAAATCCAAAGTCAATGTGGATGATGTGACCTTCTCCGTCAAGTAAAATATTGCCGTTATGTCTGAAATGAGAACAGAAAAATTGTCAGGATCATGCTTTTATTCATAGAGACTCTCACTATCTGGAGGAAAGATCACCGATGGAAATGTACCTAAGAACCCGAACCTCTAACCCGGACTTTTCGTACCCTTGTCTCTCTCCCTTACCACTACACTACCATACTCGCCAAAATGTCGAAATATTTTAGTACATAAACAAGCAAACTGTCTCTCTTAACTGATACATCAATAACAGGTGACACTAGCCCTTTCCAGAACTTTTAACGTAAATTCGACTTGGGCTTCAACATCGTTCTTTCTAAGACTATTCAAAGACGTATTATTCGCCTTGTTGTAAGTTAACCCAGTGAATATATTTCATCTATCCAGACTAAAGGCTCAGTTAACAGTGGTGGTAGACTGTTAAAAAAGGCAACGGCCGTTTACAAAAAGGAAATAAGCGTCGCAAGTAACAAAAAAAACGCCACGCAAAACACTCCTACTAGTAAAGTATACACAACATTAAAACTCCAAAAAAAGGAGGTCGGAGGCACCTGTCTTTGACTTGCATGAAGTAACACACAAGACAATATGCTGCACAACTCTGAACAAAATTACGCTGAGCATTCAGAAACTCCTCTGAGTTGACATTTCCGTGTTCCTATGAATGGTAGTAATAATATTAATAAAAATAAAACAGTAAAAGAGAACACTTTAAAGAGGCTATGTGAAAAGACCCATTGTTCAGAGGCAGACATGCTTAGCACCTCTCTCACTGCGTCCCAAGGGTTCGACTGCAAACAGTCGGTTTTTTTTCTCAAAATCGGTAAAGCGTGGTGTAAGAGTCCTACGCGCGCGAAGCGCGCGAGCCTCGCACGCCCGTAGGGCGTGTAAGGCGAGAAAAAAAAAACGTATTTTTAGCGTCCCTCCCCAGTCTCGCTCTCTTTTTTTAGCCTCGTTCCAGACCTTTTGTTTGACTGTTCGCGCGTACCTGGATACGCAAAAATACGGACTGCGAGCCTCGCACGCCCGTAGGGCGTGTAAGGCGAGAAAAAAAAAACGTATTTTTAGCGTCCCTCCCCAGTCTCGCTCTCTTTTTTTAGCCTCGTTCCAGACCTTTTGTTTGACTGTTCGCGCGTACCTGGATACGCAAAAATACGGACTGTTTTGCTGTCTACCCAAGGGTAGAAAGCGATAAGACATCCGCCAAACCCTAACACTTTTTCGCAGCGTTGTTCCACTGGAAAGATTACCTTGATGAAGTAATTCATAAGAGACATTTGACTGTTCTTCTTGATCTGGTGAAGCGAGACAGCATTCACTACAGGTTCGATGAGTCCACTGTCATTTGAGGTCACCACAACAGCATATCTACCAAAAACAAAAGGCAATGGGGAGACATTATTACTCGCAAGCTCGTCCCCTGTATCAGGGTGAGTTAAATGTTGTATAAACTCATTTGCAAGTTTGTTTTAAGAGGTCTACTTACGGCCTAAGCCGCAGTGGTACCCGCTCTTGGTTCCAAATTGCCTGAAATATAAAGAATAACATGGCAAGCATTTAGTTACGGAAAAAAAAAATAGAGAATGGTTATATTTGTGCTGACGTTGTTGAGCGCGTTTTTACATTTGACTTGAATTCAGTTTAATTTTCTACGAAAATAAACAAGAAAATAAAGGAAAGATCGAGTTACTGGTACGTTACCATTGCGGCAGACAAATGAAACCAAGTGAAAAATTCAAACAGCACCATCGACAAGAATTCAAAAGAAGTACACTGCAAAACGAACCTGAAATTGCAGTAGTAGTTGGTAAGCGAGCTGTTCTTGACGAAGGTCATCTCCGCACTTGACAATCATCGGTAAGAGTCGTAAACGCAATGTCAAGGAAATATATACTCTACAGTATACAAACACTGGGGGAAACAAAGCGCCCGAGTTCATTGGTTGAGTGACTAAATCAAGTGTGACTTTAACTCTCACTCTCCTAATAGTGTCCAACATGCAAAAGGATGCACAAAAAAAATCGAATTTCATTTGGTAAAATCTAAGAAATAAAGAGCACTATGCAGAAGTTCTGCAAAACAGGTTTCATTTGAATGGTTACACCGCAGCATTTCGTGCACAGACTTAAAATTTAGAAATACAAACTATAGCACCAAATGAAAACACTGCTGAAGAGAGGTTTCATTTGACTGATAACACCGCAGACTCAAAACATTACAAGCTAAATAACTAGTACCCTGCTAGCAGAGTCGCTTCGATCTTTCCTAGACTTATCTAGGAAGATCGAAGGAGACTCTGTTCGCAGGGTAAATAACTACCACCATGAAAAAGTTCTGCTAGGGAGGTTTCGTATGAATGGTAACACAACAGATTTCCTCCACAGAGTCAAAAGGAAGTGTGGCAAATAATCCGTCCACAACGTGGTCGAGGAGTGAAAGTGCCGGTTAAACTGCTTTCACTAATATTGTGACATTGCGAGAAAATCAGAGAATTTGAGAAATCAAACTGGGCGCTCTCGAACTACAGTACATGGTTTTATTGAAAGGATATTCCAGTTGGACACGTGACCATAAGGTGAGGCTTCTCTTATCCTTGCCTCCTTCTCTTCCCATGGTTCCTTGAGAACAGCAGCTGTTACAAAACAATAACAGAGATCAAGGACACTTCATGAGTATGACATGCATGTACTCACCAGCTGTATTTTGACAAACCCTCCACTCCCTACCATTCTCATCTTCTTCCAAAACAAATATTACAAACCAAAAGAACCCAAAAGTATCATTTGCGCCATTGTTTTGAAACAAGAGGGAAGTTTTTTAATGCTATTAGTTGCTTACAATTTAACGATTCGAGAATACCTCTCTCTCAACAAAGTTAGGCCCCAATCTTTCATTATAATAGAAGGTATTCAAAGGACCTACTATAATATGAGATACCTATACATAACGCCTATTTTCTGAAAGGTCAGTCCTAGCTAACCGAGGAAACAATTGAATTTCTAATTCTTCCTTTTTCTCAAAACATTTTGTTGTTGTTATCTTTGTTATAACAGTTAGTCAGAGCAACACTGTCATAACAACACGGCACTGTATGGTGTGATAGAAACACTATTGTAATTTTCAAGAGTATGATTTGAATACCCGAAGAATACATACGACAGTTGTTTTGAACCTGACAGATCATAATCTTGCACTGTACCTGAAGGATCCTCTGGGTCCCTTTTAAACAAGGCCTGTGGTGCACTAAGGGACTCAGAAAGCCTCCGTCGAATATCCCCAGCTGCAACAAATGGACCCTGGACAACAAATATACGACACAGAGATGGTCAAAGAAACGACACAGAGATAAGTCATTATGGTGAGATACAGTACTGTCATTCTACCTTCTGCATGTGTGAATGAAATCCTTTGGTGTTACCTTTCTAAATGAACTATCATTGGCAAAACTTTTGAGTCGTATTAATAATTTCTCGGGATTTTACTAAAACTATGAGAAATTTTTTTGACTTTTTCTGCCTTGTCCACTATAAAGGGATTGGAAGGATAGATGAAACTGCACTTGCACCTTCGATATTGTTTAATCTGCATTAATTCTTCCAGGCCTGAATTAATAGAGAAGCTCTTTAGTTCTTTTCTTTGAGAAGAAGAAATTTAACTGTTGTTTGTTCATGAGACTGTACAAAAATGTTCCAAAATGCAAACCATTTAGTTATTGTGGTTATAACATGGGATGATCCAAAGACCACGGCATCAACTGCAACCTTTGCTTTGGTTACTGGTTAATGCAACAATAAATAACAACTGTTGTGATACTGCATGAAGACTTTCCCTCTCGATATTCATTATTGAAAGTTCTCACTGATTCTTTTTTTACTCACATCAACTACATCCTGTTTTGTCTTGTCTTCAATCACAGTCGACCAACATTCATCATCTGAGTCCCCAGGTGGTGAAATCTAACATCGAAAAACCTCAAGTCAATATTACCTATTAGTGCAAGATACAAGTCACCTTGTTAATTAACTTAAGTTACTTTGTTTCCTCACTTGTTAGAGCACAACTTTCTGAGCACATTCATTCCATTTTTATTGAAGAAGGAACCTGGGTGGGTTTCAAAGCTTTTGTGAATTTTTTAACCTCTGCTGGTGACTTGATAGCCTGCAAATACAGCCATCTGGGCATCTCTCCTTACTGCTAAGAACATTTTGCAGGGGAGACAAAATGTTCTTATCAGCAAGGAGCAAGGAGAGATGACTGTATTGACAGGTTGGTGACTCAAGAATTGTTTTCTCATTGATAGAACCACTTACTGTAAACTGAACCCCTTCTGTGCGGCAGTAGGTTGGTAAATGCTCCTCAGACCTAATGAAATTGAAATAATAATAATAATGGAAACTATATTATTTTGTGTTTTTGAATGTACAATTGTAAATCTCGCTACGTACAGGCAATTTACAAATGCTGCTTGAGATTGGATTGTTAAAAAAAAAACACAAACAAAAACAAAAACAAAACAAGACAAAAGCAAAAAAAAAAAAAAGAGAAGAAAACAAATGAAAATTGCATTAAGTCTTGGCTATCCCAATTCCTATTTCTACAACAAAAGATGTAATATGTTGCTCTAATGGCTATATGTATCATTTTCCTGATTATATAAAGTTGCTGCTTTTTGTCAATGACAACGACTGGCAAAAAAATTAAGAGAATGACTTCTTTTGTTAAACACCATGAACTCTTCTGACCTTGTTTGTCGTAAAGTGGGTTGAAACTGCTTAGATGGAAAAGGATCATCACCATTTCCTGTCATGCACAACACTTCGACGTATATCATGTAAGGAGCCTGCAATGCAGCAAAAAGTTTGCACCTTAGTTGACTGGTTAACTGGTTTATTAGCTGGTCAATAAGAGAGGAGGGCACTTATCAGACTTGCGAGTCCAGAGTTGACTCCTTGGTAGCTTGCAAGCAGTCTAGACTTCAGAGAAAATTTGGAGGCAGAGCTGGCAAGAAGGATAGGGTGAGAAAATATTCACCATATTCTTCTCTTTGTCCTTGCCGTATTCTTTTCACCAGCTTCACCTGCTTGCACCGTCAAAATTTTCCCCAAAATGACACAAGTGAGCCTGCCAGCAGGCTAACTCCTTGGTCATAATCCCTCCTGCCAGTCGTTACAAGTTGTTGCTGCTGTCGCAACATTTTTTACTGCCATCAATCATTTTTCACTGCCATCAATCTTATTACTGTCACAAGCAATGAACCTTGAAACACAGAAACTCACAAAAAGGATTGAAATCCACCAATCAGAAATCACAAACTATGACCTTTTGATCTCGTTGAAGTAACTTTCTGTTCCTAAGAGGCAACCATAGATGATTGACAGCAGCAAAGAAGGCAAAGGTTAGTTGGTTTTTGAACTTCAGTGTTCACATGTTCTTGAAAAGTACAGTAAGTCAAAAGAGTGACCAACATCAATATTTGCTCCTTACAGTACCAATACATCATCAAAAGAAAGGTTATGAGAATTAATAAATTGATCACCAAAGGGAAAATACCTTGATGTTTTACCAAATTGCCTCAATTAATTCTTCAAGGAAATATAAGGAGATCCTTCCCGAGAATTTTGTATTTGGACATTTTGGGCTTAAAGGGTGAACAGAGGCTAACTGATTTTATGAACAATTAAATTTTTGTTTTATTCTCCCACTTGCACAGAGAAAGTAAGCCCATTATTCATTTCTTGTTTACATCTTAATTGTGTTCAATGTGGCAAGCTACTCTGTACTTGTTGGTGAACTTACCTTATCTTTTGAGTTGAGAACCACAGCAGCAGTGTGTGGTATCCTCACCACATAATGACCTCCAATTCCGTGATGCACTGGTAAGCTGACTTTGGCTGGCAAGTTCAGATTCAACAGAGATAATTCAGCATACAGCCTGGAAGCTGAAAATGATACAAGGGATTAACAGTATGCAAACAGATGCTAATCATATTAGTAGTGCTATGGATACAGATATTTGCTTAATATTTTTTCACTCATAAGGAATGGACAATTGACCTAAAATATTTCCATTTCCTCATCAGTGAGAGTCAGGCACCACTTGAGAATTATGCTACTGCAGGCCTGTAGGGAACCATTAAGAGACTTTTCTAGACGGCACCCTTGGTTTTAAAATCAGTGAGACATTACTTCAAGGAGTTTAGCCTGAGAAAACAGCCAACATTTTACAATGACACCACTGGTTTCCCCATGAAATGATGTCTGCGAAATGACGGCAGAAATTCTGTACTGATGACCTGCCACCACCCAGATCTGGGTAGTGCTACTGATTGGTTAAGGTAAATTTCCCTCGTGGCACAACCAATCAGAAGCACTACCGAGATCTGGGTAATGGAACGACATCATTATGGACTTTTTGTGCTCAGACCATGAAAATATCTATCCCACACAATTTATGGCTTTGGTGGTCAATCTGAAATATTTATTTTGTTCAAATTGGTTTGCATGGTAACAAAGCGAGTAACTTAGTTGCCCAAAGCCCAAAGCTGTTACCCCAAATTTATACTTAAGCATATAGTATGTAGCCTTGTGTGAGGTTAAAATAATGTGAATTCGTTGTTCACAATATTTATAATACTAGAAGAAGGAATAACAATGGAAAGACATTTGGCTCCTTTAATGACTAGGACCATAGCTTCAAAATTACTTTTGCGCAAAAATAACCACCTAAAGAGGGATGCATTTTGAGATATTGCATTTTGGGTGCACGCCTGGACCATAAGAAGGCAAATACTTACTCTTGAGGTGTTTTGTTGGCTGGGAAGTAAGCCTCTTTCCAATAGCTATCAATGCACTTATGAACTCTCTCTGAGCTACAAGCTTTGGAGTCTAAGTAAAGACAAGAAGAAAAAAATGTTATCACACTATGATTGTTGCAAAGCATGTTGATAAGTAACTCCAAAAGAATAGACAACAAAAGGGCACCAGCACTGCGTGGCAAAGGACCCATGAGTTTTTCAAACTCCGACTCTTTAACACTACTACAGACCATACTGATAGCCTGTTCTTACAAGGGCTTGTAAAAAGCATCTGCTCCCACTAACTCACTTGTAAGTGTGAGCTACATGTAGTCTCAAGTTAACCCTTAAAGTCCCAATAGTGGCCAAAATCAATTTTCTCCTAACGATATCCATACATTGTAAAGAGATTAGGTTATGAGAATAAATATAATGATCACCAAAGGGAAAACGCTTTGATCTTTTATCAGATTCTCTTTACTCATTCTGAAAGGAAATGTGTAGAGATCAGTTTGGAGAATTTGTATGTGGATATTGGGGCTTAAAGGGTTAAGCTAGAGACCATTAACAGCTGCTGCTCTGCCATCATCAATGTCTAAATGCAGTAACTGTTCATCAGCAGGATACCTAAATTGTGAGCAATTTCCACAACTGGCTTCAGCTTTGCTATAATAGACTCTCTCTCCTGCTTTCAAAAATTCTAATTTGCTGTTCTATGTTCTTCTATGCTCTATTGACAATAAGTCTTTTTCTTTCAAGCTTTCTTAGGCCTGGCTCAAATGTGCATTCCCTGATCCACAAGTGCCAAATTAAATGCTAATGAGGAAAATCTATTTTTCTTGCTCATTCGCATTAGATTCTGCATATGTAAAATGCAACGTTTGAACTGGGCCTTATGTACTGATAAACTTGTACAATACATAATTCATAACAAGCCTTTCAATAAATTAAACCTACAAAAAAATGTAATTATATTATAGTATATACCTGGCAGCTACAGTCTGGAGTTCGTGCTAACTCAGTCAGTGCAGGACTGGAGGCATTTGGAGACACCACAGGGGAATGCTTAGAACAGCGACTGTCAAAGGCATGGCCATACCTCAGGTCACCATTTCCAGGGGACTCACACTCATTTGACTGAAATAGAAAAGTAATAAAACTGATGAGATTAATCAAACTATGCATGCCCTATTCTTGAACTGGGAATTATTGATCCTTTTAAATTTCTACGTTCACAAGGTGTTAGAGCAGGTAAAAACCTATGTTTTTACAAATCTTTGAGTGTAAAGAAAATTTTTACACTATTCCATTTTGTTTAAAATAATGTACCTCTTATAACAAGAACCTTTGCTGATGGATGCATACAGGAAGTAAGCAATACTGCTAATGAAACAATGAACTAATAAGACTTAGTGTTTCCAATCCACTTTTAAATAAGCTGATCCACTGATCCATAAGCCCCCCACTTAGCCCTTCTACCCCTAGAGTAAGGTAATTTGTCACTAGGGAGCTTAAGCAACCATGATGACGAAGACAATGACAACGTAAGAAACAATTATTGATTTTATGAGCAAAACAACAGCTCTGCATGTGCATAACGCTTTTTAGTAGATTCCTTTAATGTCCATAGCACGACTACGACATGAAACCTCCTAATGGGACGATGAGACGTGAACATACGACAACAAATTTTCCTTTCTCTTTTTGAACCTGGATAATTAAGTCTTTAAGAATTCAAATCCTGGTAAAGTCGCCCAGGATGCAAATTAATTTGTTTAGCAAGTGGCATTTACACCGCTGCTGCCGTCATTGTTGTTTAAGCTCAATACTTTAAATCCTATGCTACCATTCAATTGTAAACTCTTAAGAATTTTTGTGAATCTTGCTCAAGCTATTAGGAACGAAAGGTTTAAAACATGCTGCAAAAATATGCTCCAATCAGGGTCATATACAGAGAGATTATGGTATACTATTTCTGTGTTACATACTTGCATTAGACGGCTAGAAGCTGTAATAGCTGCAGTGGCATCTGACTTGGATCGCTGGTGGGTTTTCTTTGTAGGGGCAGTAAGTGTTGTACCTGACCCAGCTGAAGATGCAGGTGAAGGTGAAGAATGTGATCCAGCAACTCCAGAAGGACTTAAAGGAGACCTGTTAAAAGTTAATATATTAATTTAGGAAAATTCTATGGCAGCACCAAGAATGCAAGATTTCTGTTTTGCATATTCAAAAGTCCTGTGGTAAGTTTCTTTGAAGCTAAGAATATTATAGTTTTGCCACTTTCATCACAAGTAACTAGTAAAAAATTTTCAAACTTTTCAATAACAATCATTCTTTTCAACCTTGAGAAACATAATCACACATCCTTGTTTCTCACTTAAGTTTACAAAACTGATGGTATTTGCGGTGATTTACATAATCAAAATTCTTATAAATTTCAAGTTAGTTACACCCCTCAATTGCTGTGCTTACTCGAACTTTGTGTGGCATTGTGTTACAAATCACAGAAATCAAGCAATGCTGCATTCTAGATTAAACCCTGCAGTGATTTCAAGATTAATCAACCCTTTGAGTAATAATAATAATAACAATCCTGTTATTTACCCTCAGCAGTATCTGCATTTTTTGCATTTTTGAGTCCCAAGAGTGAACAACATTATCTAACATTATTCCAAAAATTATATCATCAAGAGAACTGGTTATAAGAATTTTATTTACAGAATGATTGATCACTAAAGAGAAAATGCTCTAATCTTTTATCAAATTCTCCCAACTAATTCCTCCAGGAAATGTATGGAGATCAGTTTGGAGAATTTGTATGTGGATATTGGGGCTTAGAGGATTAACTCCAAGGTCACCACCATTGCATACAGTAATAATACCTTGGCCTGCATTCTTCCAAAATCAACTGCAGGAGCTTTATTCCTCTGGCATGCTCTTTTGAAGGAAGCCATCCATCTGCACAGTATGCTTCTAACAACCATGAAGCCTGTAGTGAAATTGTACAGCCTTGGATGATGTGCTGGTCAAGATTCCACTAACTTACTAGCGCTTCTCCTTTATTACATTAATTTTTTGCATTACTCATTAAACCCATTTACCCTGAACTGCCTATCACCACCCCATGGGGATCCATCATGCCTGAATGAGTATGATTCAGTCAATCAGGCTGGAGAAAAATGCAAAAAACAAAAAATACCAAAACAGAGAAAAGTTGACCTGCAAATTCCAATAACAACCTTTTGGGCAGTTTGGTTTGTTTTGGCCGGATAGTGACCAGAAAACAGCTTGACTAGCTTCAAGGGGTTTTTTGGCAAAATTTCCAGGTGTAAATAGGTTAAGAAAGTGCTGAAAGATGACTGCACAAGTGTCCCAACCACATGTTATTTTGATACTGATAAAACGTTAGAACTACATGTTTCAAAGCAGAATTAAGCACTGGAACTGAAAGATATTACTGGTATTAAGAGCTACTATAATGGAACTTGTTTTGAGCATGACAGATCTAGCAATAATTTGTTATTATTATGGTGGAAAAATATAAAAGAGCACAGAAAGGTTTAATTTGCCCTTAAATTTAAGGAATAGCAACTTAATTACTCTTGTAAACTATCACTGGTTTATTATTCTTTTATCGTCCAGGAAAAAATGAAAAGAGGTTTGCAGAGCTGTTTCCTGGCTCAGTTGGAAGAGTGCCGGTATGCTCAGCAGGAGATCACGGGTTTGAACCCTGGCTAGACCAACACTCAGGGTCTTTAAATAACTGAGAAGAAGGTGCTGCCTTTGTAATGACATCTGCAAATGGTTAGACTTTCTAGTCTTTTCGGATAAGGACGAAAAACCGTAGGTCCCATCTCACAGCACTTACACTTATCTGGTTCTTGTGGGACGTAAAAGAACCCACACCACTTTTTCAAAAGAGTTGGGAACATACGCCCCGGTGTTGTGGTCAACCTACACTCATCACATCATTCACATCATGGGTTGGGTGGGTACAGTAAGCTCATAAATGGACTGAGAGCGGCTGTGAGTGGTGCCTTTGTATGCTGACGTCACAGCTTACTGTTCACATGTTAAAATATACTGTAAAAGTGTACATCTGTTGTCCTCTCATCCACGACTCTTTATTCATTCATTCAACTCACTCATTCATAAAAATTCAACCATAAATTAAAACAAAATAATCTTTGACTGATGAGGCAAACATCTTAGCATTAATGCATTCCTTGTTCACTCTTGTAAACTATCACTGGTTTATTATTCTTTTATCGTCCAGGAAAAAAGGAAAAGAGTTTTGCAGAGCTGTTTCCTGGCAAGAAACCTAAACATTCACCATCAATCTGTGAATGACAAGGAAGGGCTTCCACATATAGTTTTTGGCTCAGTAAGGGAGTTCATGAACCAACCAAAAGTACATGGTCTTACATCCCTCAAAACAATGGATTTTCCTCTCTGTAAGGAATATTGTGCTTGTACATTGAAGGCTCACCAGGAAAAAAACTGATGTGAAACGGTTTAGCAGCAGTACACACATATGCTGAAAATATGATGTGGCCATACATACCTGTAGAGCAAATGAAAAGTTCTTCTTGCACTTCTCCACCAAGTATCTATGAAGAGCCTCTGACACTTCATCAATATGGATGTACATGTTACTGAAAAATGGCAAAATCGATAGCAGTGTTCATTAGTTTAAAATTAACTACAGTAGATAAACAGTTATGATAACGACCATTTTTGTAGGAGTAATGGTTACCCAGCGGGGTGACTCTGGATTTCAAGTGACAGGGTTGATGGAAGGATTTTCTTGGGTTTGAAATTTTCGATTTCTGGATTTTTTGGGGTAGGAAAATTTTGGCAAGTATTGTTTTGGGTAGCTTGATTTAAGTAGGAATTTTTTGGGTATTCAAAACTGGGGAATGCTTTTGCCCATGATGGCTGCCTCTAGGTCTCCAAGAACAACTTAGAGATAGAAAATACTGTGCATCTTATGTACCCAGTCTGAAAAATATCCACCAAGACAGTTCTCCAAGGAAATTGAAGGGAGCCCAGTGCTCTAAACCTGTAAAATCTAAGTTACCCAGCATGTGATTTGTTTGAAAAAAAAAAAGAAGATTTTCTTGTTGCCCGAGAGCAAAAGTTGGGCACCAGGAGCCAGGAGGCTCTGCTAGAGCACAGCCTTGTCCATGTACAACCTTGTACACCTTTCCCGCATTCCACTCTAATGAGCAAACACAAAGAAATGAGGTTGAGGTTCAGGTAGACAATTTCATGTGCGTCACTGTAAAAAAGGTATTTTGTCCACCCAAGCCTTGGGTTGGTGCCTTTGTTCATAGTGATGGAAAGGTCTATTATCACAGCTGTGGAAACAACAATTTCGCAAAAAAACAAAAAAACAAAATGCAACCTAAAATCTTATCTGGGGAGGAAAAGGGGGGCTTATTCATCAAATCCACCAGCCCAATCATCAGTAATGCTAACTAACACAAGAACACTTACATTAGTTGTGGTATATAGAAGTTGACATCTTCATCGTCAAAACTCTATCAAAGATAAAAACAACAGACCTTTGTCATGCAGTGGCCATTTTGTCTCAGGAGATTTAAAAAGCTTTGTTTATGCACGGCTAGCCTTGTTCTCTCTACGAGGCTAGCTGTGCATAAACAAAGCTTTATAAAGCTCCTGAGACAAAATGGCTGCTGCGTGATAAAGGTTTATTCAAAACAAAATTCTTAGCCCTTTAACCTTACATAAATCAGCTAAAGCTGTAACTCATTAATAACTTGTGGCTAGTGTATGTTGAGTTTCAATTTTATCCTTGGTGTAAATCATATCAAACCCATTATAATAGAGTACCACACCCCAAAACAAAGAAATACAGGAGTTTTGCCCAGGGTTGTCATTAAGAGCCGGGGGCCGGGGATTTTCCCCGGCTACTAAGAGAGTGGCCCCCGGCTACTTTTATTGGAAAATAGAGGAAAAATAGAACCAAAAGAAATCCCTAGCTGTTGGATTCCCCGCCTACTTGTTGTATTTACCCGGCAACTTGAAATCTTAGTGACAACCCTGTTTGCCAGAGGTTATTTTTATAGCTGCTACCCAAAATTGGATGACCTGAATATTGTGAATTTAATCAGCACATCCTCACTGCCTTAACCAGAAAGAACTGGATCAACCAGTAAAAAGAGTTAGAGATAGAGGGGGAGTGGAATGGAGGGCTAATTTTCAAGCCATGTGAATATAGGATGAAGGAATATTTGGCACAAAACTAAGATGGGTCTAAGGTGTTTTGTAACACCAGGCAAGACAATCACACTCGAGAGGTCCAAAAACCACCCAAATGGGTATTGCGAAACCCAAGATAAAATCATACTTACAAAGAGTTTGTTTCCAAGATAAGTCAGTACCCCAGGTTCCTTAGAATGAAATAAATATGCAATTGCAATGGACATATCAAAGAGCTTGGATTCGAAGAGTCGTAAAAGCCAGGAACTCTTTGGTGGTGGAAGACTATTGTCAGTATGTGTCTCAGCAAGATTAAGCCTTAAATTTTTCCTTAAATGTCTTGATCCACGCTGCATTTCACTTTCCATCATTTCACAGTTTGTATCCATATGGCAGGTTTCTCCATTCACAAGGAGGTGATTTTCTTGATTTGGATTGTTGTTTTCTGGCATTAGATGTGTGTTAACTTGACAATATTTAAATGGATTTGAATTGGGGGATGATGGAATTGGTTGCACAGTGCAACATGCCTGACTATCTGTCATTCCAACAATATTTATCCACCAAAAACATGAACGTAACTACACAGTAAAACAGTTGTACAAAAGTTGTGATATTGAGCTTTCGGCAACATGAGCGTGTTGCGTAGCCTTGCAACAGATGAACCAAGTATATACGATTCAGTTCTCTCAAGCACCAAAACAGTGTTCACAACCACTTCCTTGAGATGCCCAAATTTGAACTTTTTCTTGCAAATTGAAGCCTGGGTGCAATCACGTTCCTTTATACTTGTTACGGACAAGAGTGGTCTTGAGCTTACTGTACTTTCCTCCACTTCGATTCCCACGCAATAAATTGTAGATCAATGAACTCAAGTTTTTCCGAAGGAGCTCTCCTTGTTTACACGGGCCATAAAGTGGTGAGTACCAGTAGTTTACCCAGTGTCGCTTAAAGTGTCAACACCAGACAAAAGAAATTTTTCTTGCGTGAATTAAGACACAACAGCAGTAAAGTTTTCGACAGGCCGGATGTTGTATTTAAAAGCTGGCCGGCTGGGCGAGGTGGAAATTCGCCTACTCACAGTATAAGCAGATATTTTTTCGAGAATGTTACGCAACTACAGCCAAGACAAGAGAAGAAAACTACAAGTGTTTCTGAAATATCCCAGACTACTCCAGAAAAGTGCTATTTTCCAACGGTTCAGTGAAGCGATCGTCCACACTTGGCACAAATGACAAATTTCGGTCCACCTCCATTCAACGGCATTATGTTGATATCGGTCTATGGGGAAATCCAAATTACGGTGTGTTTAAAGAAAACAGTCAGCTTATCGTACACTGTTGGTAGCACAGCCGCAGTGATGGAATAAATCTGTTGTTTCTGTCTTAGCCAAGTTTCATGTGATAGTTTGTGGGAAACATCTGCTTTTGTAGCGTTACCCAGAATGCACCTGGAAAGACTGAAACTCAGAGGGGGCTGGGCAGGAATTCGCGAAAATGCATCACTTACTGTTACACTTACTGTGGGGCCGGGAGTTGCTTGCTATCATTTTTAATTTTCATGTTTGATTCTTTCAGTTTCCACCAGGGGCCGATAATTTGAGCACCAAAATGATTTGGCTTTCCGTCTAACGACAAGCGATCTTTCACACCTGAGTGCAACAGTAGGTTCAAAAGGGGCCACGCGCACGTCGCCCTATTTGCTATCTTTTTAAAATGTTCCAACGTACCTTAGTATCATTTGAATTCCAAAAACATTAGTTCAGTCATTTTTCAGGTTTTTTGTACGGTTAGCAAGGATTGATATGGATTGAAACTTGAAAAAATAAAAGGTAACAACTGAGAAACAGGCTCCTCCTTAGTCTCCCACCAACGTTTTTAGGGGAGCTCGCATTTTTTCCTGCCCACAAACGCCAGGGACGATATACGAGCTCCCCTGAAAACACCTGCGTGGGAGGCTAGCTCCTGCTGAGAAATGAAGGGGACTTGCCCTACAAACACCTAGACCTTCGTTGTGTGCATGGGTAAACGCACTAAGTAACGAATTTGGTACTCAATTCCTTTATGGTCCCAGAAACACAAAGAAAAAAGAAAAAAATTAGCTTGTCATGTCACAAAATTTTCTGGGAAATTTCCGTAAAAATTTCACTCCTTGGAACGACACTGTACGCATTGCAGACCTAGCGTAAGCATTTTCCCAGAGTTCTTTGCGGGGAATGTGGAGTCGCGTTGCCTCACGTGTGGTTTACACTTCTTTTTATTTGTCAGATTTGTTGTTCTTTGAGAAAACCGGATCGTCTTCGAAGTTTTATCTGGGGAAGGAAATTTAAAAGGAAGGTGCATTATCTTGAGAGCATCAAGATACATATGGCTTCATCAGAAGAAGCAGTGAAAAATGAAAGTTCGTCCGTTCAGCCTAATAATAATTCTTCGGAAACTTCGAAGCCTACACAGCAAGTAGTCACTAATCCAAGCAATAACACGGGATCATCGAAGGTAAGAGAAATGATTATCCTACAGCACACTTTCTTGTTTGAAGACTTGCAATTTTTACTTGCAATCGAAGCATTGTTGAAAATCAGTGGGCGAGAAGGCGGCCACATTAATTGAATTGAAATGATTGTTGGCTGTTCGACAGGACCGACGAGCTACTACTAACAATAGTAATATGAAAGTTGTTCCCCGCTGACTTAGGGAGTCTACATTCCGCTTATTATTAGCAAGTAATGATACACGGAATGCGGACTTTACTAGTAGGGAATAATAATTGCTACCCGGTGTAGTGAACCTTCAAAACCCATCAAAACCTAAGCATTGTAAATAGATTATAAATTTACGTTTTGGTACGTACACAGGGCACCCATACAATCCGTTTCTGTAACTGTTTGTAATTTTATAGTAAATGTATTGGATTTATTGGCGGCTTCCTCTGTAGTGATTTATCACCAGATATGTGCATGAATCCTCAGATTGGTATGTTGAACGATTCCGAAGGATTTTAAGTTTGCCTTTTACTGGGCCCCTCAATAGGCACAGTTGATCCACATATACGTAGTGATACACCTAATTGCAATACAGTGTCTTTAAAAAAAAGGGAAAAAGGAAAAAGCCAAATAGGAATTAATAAGGCCAATTAAGCCACATTCTCAGGGTGGATTCATTTACAGCCATTGCATTTCCCTGCTGGAATTTTTTATTGTTTTCCAGCTTTAAAACAATAGCAAATTCCCACAGGCAAATACGACATCCATGTGCAAATGCTTCAAATGAATCCAGACGTAACTAATCGATGATGAATGACATCAATGAGTAATCGATGAGTACTCGTTGGATAATCAATTGGTTAGTCACTGATTATTCGCTATAATTAATCGGTAATTGATGGCTAAAAATTTTGCGGCCTATCGATTACTCATCGATGACTAATTGATGGCTAAAAATTTTGTGGCCTATCGATTACTCATCGATGATGTAATGATTATCCATTGGTTAGACATTGATTATGCATCTCATACAATTCTACCAATTTTTTTTCTTAACTTATTTCCGGTGATAAAAATTTACGTTAATGGTTCTTGGCAATAATAATAGCCAAATAGGAATTGAATTTGCATGTAGAAAACCAGCGAGTTACGGACAGCTCTGCTGAAAATACTTCAACAGGCTACTTCAAAATAATAAAGTTTGAACAGCTGTTCAAGGATTGGAAGATTTCTGGTTTTCATTCAAAATCAGACTTACCTTTCATCCTTCCAACATCACACAACAGTTGTTTGTTTCTGTGTTTTAAAATGTCTTGTGTTCAGAACAGTCACATAGTTGCTTTCATGGCTGCTGTATTGTTTACAGCGGTTATTTTTAACAAAAATTACCCTGGGCACATTAAATCGACACGTGAATACGTGAATACATTTGTATAATCAAGGTCTTGGAATAATTAAAGTCTCACAAAAGTCTCATCCAATATTTGTTATTAAAGGAAAGGTGTAGATTGTTTTCACATGATATCACAGTAGCCATATTGTTGTACAAAATGCTGGAATGCCGGCCATGTTGGTGTACAGAAAAAGTCCTGTGGAGATTGAACTCTTTTCTCTTGTAAAAACTTTTTTTCCAGCAAATTTGTATAGGCGCTGACCATGTGAGTGAAAACAAACTATTTAGGGTGTGTTCGATTGACAGTATTCTGGAATAAGAATAAATGGAATAAACTCTAGGAATCAGTTGTTTTATTCATTGCATTGCATTGTCTATAAATACGCTTGATTGCCAACAAGCCTCACGAAGATATGAGGCTGCGATGGAGCAGCATAATCAAGCTGTGCGCAAAATTTCTATACATACATACATAAAACTTTATTTTATCTCAAATTACAGAGTAGCCAAAAAAAGGCCGAATGAATCTCAAAGCAATGTAACATAAGGTAGTGTAAGGTAGCTTTTATGACGTAATGCAGAACAGAGAATTCATTGTTCTTGAGTGAACACAATCATGCGTGAAAGTTCCAAGGCAGAATGAATCTCGAAGCAATGTAAATGATAAATGATGGACAGATGACTGACCTGCAGTCTGCATTCTTGTAAATTACGGTGATTCATGACATTTCTAAACAAATTGAACAGCACTCACATTTAGGTAAAATCTTGCTCATTGGCACTTAGCAATAGCTATAAGTAGTATAAAATATGTTGATGTATGTAGCATTTAAGTGGTCCAAAAATCACAGTACAACAGATCTGTAACAAAATTTGGAGGTATTCCTATTCTGGTAATATGCTCAATCAAACGCATCCTAAAAGAATCACCTACTTCATACCTTTTTCTAAACAGGTAATACACATTCAGTTTGTAAGCATTAAAGGCAAGTAGCTAATCGGTGTTTCCTCTTCTGTATTTAGAAGCCAAACTACATACTGAAGTATACATTAGCTGGTCATACAAAAGCTATTTCCTCCGTGAAGTTTAGTCCAAATGGTGACTGGCTGGCAAGCTCTTGTAAGTTACTTGTGATCTTGGTAATTCTAGTATTCTTAGGCACTGATTTCTTTGTTTCACAAGTGGTATTTAATAATTATTAAACCTATGTCACTACATTTCAACTTGACTTGCTTAATATCAGAGATTTTTTCTGCTGACTATGTGTACAATGTATGTTGTTAGTGATTGACTTGTGTTGGGAGATTTATAGCAAATAATTGCTTTGTGCAAAGCTAAGGATGCTGTGGGGTGATATAAGAGTCTTTTCTTTACAAGTTTTGCCCTTTGAATTTGTAATCAAGTGGTATTATATTGAACTGCTTGCTTATAGCATTTCATGTGTAGACCCAAAAAGTTAGACACTTTGTAACTAGACTTCTCTGTCATTAATTAATGCATTTATTATTTATTCTCATTAGACATTGATTAAAAACTTGCAAATTCTTTAGCTACTCTTTTTTTCCTAAACAGCTGCTGACAAGTACATAAAAATATGGGGAGCTTATGATGGGAAGTTTGAGAAGACTATATCAGGACACAAATTGGTATGGCGTGTTGGTTTATAATTAATTTTAATTTATGCCTTTATGTTTGTGGACAGTCATATACTTCCTTAGTCACAAAATCCTCAAATATTAATAAAGTGTGACATTCTTGGAACAAGTGTTGGATTGGAGAGGCAGTGCCTTGTGTCATGCACAGCTAATTATAAACTTAAATTAATAATTTCATGGTAAATTTACTTTTGTGAACCACACTCAGTGATATTGAGGTATCTGGATCCAGATTTCAGCTCTTGAATCTGAAATTTGGTTTTAGCTTCTAGTATGCAGATTCAGTTCCTTGCAAATAAATGCAGCCTACACTTTCCAGTTGTGCTGTTAGGTACAGGTACATTTGTGACACAACTCTCAAGAAAAATAGCACAAGATGACCAACAAAACTCCAAAAGACCTTCCACAATGAAACTGGAATGACCCATGTGAACTTGTACTCTTGACTTCTGCTGCAGAGTGTTACATCACTTTGTGTTGTTTACAATTAGATGGTTATTAATAAAAGTGTTATGTTATAAAATACTTTAAACAATGGGTGCTTGCTTAAAAGCATGGTGTTTAAGTTAGGAAGGAATGATATTTATTGAAATAAATGACACTAAATTGGTTGAAGAGAAAGTTTTATGATTAACTTAAATAGTTTGCTTTTTTTTGTTTTCAGGGAATATCAGATGTATCTTGGTCTTCAGATTCAAAGCTGCTTGTTTCAGCATCAGATGATAAAACCCTTAAAATCTGGGATTTTGCTACTGTAAGTTGAAGGAGGAATACCTCTCCTTTTAGTCAACTTTGGGCTGGTTATGGCCTAATATATTTTTTGTTCAAACACAACTTAACTTAGTTAAGGCCGTATATACAAAAGAAGAAACAAATTCAATACCTGAATGCCCGTGCTCTTCCAGTTTGTTCCATTATTGACAGTACCACAAATATCTGGCTTTTGTTTTTTCTGTCACAAAGGTTTTGTTTCTTTAGTACCACAGTTTTAATGTACTTTGTCTCTCAAGTACCACCGCGGCAGTGTTAGCTCAGTTGGTAGAGCGTGTTGACTGCAGAGTGGGAGGTCGCGGGTTCGATTCTTGGGGCCAGACCAATACTCAGGGTCTTAAAATAACTGAGAAATGAAGGTACTCCCTTTGCACTGCAATAGGCTAGACCTTCGCGTGGCTCGGATGACCACGTAAAGTGGTGGTCCCGTCTCCAGTTGGAGACATAATATAGTGTCCCCAATTAGTACTTTCGTGCTAAATACATTGACACTCAAATAAAAAAGTGCATTTTTTTTACAGGCCTAATGTACAGTGTAGATGTGTAACAAGTCAAAATTAAATTCAGGTTGAAGTTGTTTAAACCTACAATAAATTAGGTTGATTCCCAATTTCCTTTGTCTCCAAGCCGTCATTCACAATCAACCTAGATTAAAAAAATTTAACCTGAATATAATTTTGACCTGTATCATATGTACATGTTGGGCAGTGAGTTGATAGGACTATGATATAAGTGTAGCTTCAGTGAAAAACAAAGATAACTCATGTGTGATTTGTGACTCATCTCTTTGCTCTATAACATTAATTTTGACCAATACATTTTCTCCTGTGATTTTCTTCAAATGTCATTATTGTTTATCTGTGCCTCCTTTGTTATTTGATCATAGGGAAAATGTCTCAAGACTCTGAAAGGTCATAGCAATTATGTATTTTGTTGCAACTTTAATCCTCAATCTAACCTCATTGTGTCAGGCTCGGTGAGTATTGTTGTAGTCTTCAGTATGTCCCAACTTCTTAAACAGGCAACAAACAGAACTTAGTGACCATTGATATTTAATTATTAAACATGTAGTAGGTTAACCAACCAGCTCTTGGAATTTTTGTAGATTAAAAAATGCCCTTTGATGCCACTTAAAGGGAGCAAAGCTACAGTTTGTTTTCTATATTTTTTAAAAAACTAAGAGTATGTTTGCTCTCATCTGTTATGCAAACATAAATATTTTTTCTTCAAAGTTTGTATTTATTGAAAAATAGAAAAAAGTAAGGCATAGTTGACCTCCTCCCTGTTATGCTCCGCTGCACAGTGGTGTACTGAAGTAAAACAATGTCCAACCACACTGTAATGAGGAGGATTTTGCCAGCCTTGATTTTTTATTCTTTTTGTAGTTTGATGAGAGTGTGCGCATTTGGGATGTTAAGACAGGGAAATGCTTAAAGACGCTGCCAGCTCATTCAGATCCTGTAACAGCGGTACTAAGACAATAGTATCATTAATTTTAAGGGCCCTCTGACCTATCTTTTTCTTTGTTTCTAACACTCTCTCAGAACAAGTTGTTTAATTAGCTAACAAAACAACAGATTCAATGTCTCTTGTCCTAAAAACCAAAGCAGGTGTAATTCCATGAATGCTCACCTTGGAATTGAATTTGAAAAATAGATTCTAGACTTGAACGGTCTCAAGTCTTTTGGTATTGTAGCTTTTGACTGTGTCGCACAGCCATCATTAGTAATGAATGCTCAGTGTTGTTACATTAAATAGTAGAAATAAACCCACATCTCAGGTGTGTTTTTAAGGTCAATAAAAGTACAGGTTTGTGAGACCTTCCCGGCACCATTATTTGGTCAAGAAAATACAGTAGTAGGTTTAACAATGCCTGCTGTGTTGTATTTCACAACAGGTTCATTTCAATAGAGATGGTGCCTTGATAGTTTCAAGTAGTTATGATGGCCTTTGGTAAGTTTCACTCATACAGTCAAACTCTGCTCACTGGGCAAGAAAGCTCAAAATGTTATGTACCAAAGAAAACCTTTGGTACTTGACTGGGACAACTGGACGGGCCATGTCAAGTGCCATGGTTATTGTTTTCAACTTGTTCTCTTTTTACCTGTATTTCATGCTGTGCTATGACTACTGAAGACTTATTTCTTTCTTCCTGTATTGATGACAACTTTATTTGCATAAAAATAGATCCAAGGCAAAAAAGAAGGATGGGTGCAAAAAGGGTGTTAACAGAGAGGAACTGAGTCCTCATACAAGCCTGACCCTCTCCCTAAAGATATAATATTCAATATGTAAACTATGATTTAAAATTCTAAACTTGCTCTTTAAAGGGTATAATAAGCTCACTGGATGTTTATTGAATGGCCTATTTCTTCACTTGGAAACTGAAAGGAAGAGTGTATGAGACAAATAATAAGTGAAACAAGCATGTGCTTGAAGTGGATGATGTGGGGGTAAAGAGCCTTGCACTCCACATAGACAAGTGTGTCTAGTTTCTTCTTTTGTATTGTAAAAGTATTAGAAAATAGATCGCTGTTTTATGTGAGCACTGGCCTTAATTACCTGTAGTTGGAGATCTTTATGTGTGTCTCTATTGATGATGTCTTCTTGTTCATTTTTTTCCATAGTCGTATTTGGGATACTGCCTCTGGGCAATGCCTCAAGACTTTAATAGGTTAGTTTTGTGCTGTTTTAATTATTATTGAGGTCATGTCTGTTAACTAAGACTGGCTGAATATTAAAGTGGCTTGAATAGTCATGAGTAATAATAATAATAATAATAATAATAATAATAATAATAATAATAATAATAATAATAATAATAATAATAATAATAATAATAATAATAATAATGAGTCTTTATTTCACCAAAAGATAAAACTACATATCTTATGTTACAATAAGAGAAGATAAAAACTATGATAAAAATACCTACGTTATATGTATATATTAAAAAAGTGTATCATTACAATAAATGGAGCTTAAAAATCAACCTATTAACAAATGTGTTCATAAAACGCTCTGTATTAATTTTTGGGCGTACGCAGCCTTTTTTCCTAAGATTATGTACATACGTCTTCTGGACAGGAATGATATCTTTTAGTGGGTGGCAATCCGTTGATATTAATTTCTTTAAAATGTTTTGGTCTTGTTTATTTATAAGATTCTTGATAAAAACTGGAAATGAAATAAATGAGTGGTCCTCAATCTACAATCTACATGTGTGTGTATTGTTGAAATGTATTATTCACAATGAACAACAATAATAAAGTTTGACCAGACTAGAATAATATTAGTGGTTCAGACGTCCAGTTTTTATACTTTTATAAAAAATCTGCCCCAGCACGAGTACACAAGGTTGACAATGTTAAAAAAGGAAAAGCATGGATATGACAGGTAAAAGGAAGTGTATGAGGAGCATTCTTAGGTTTTAGTGTGTGAATTTAATGTATGAAAGTTAGAGTTAGAGACGTGGTCTTTTCCTGTGGTTTGTTGTCCTCAGTCTTATTTCATACTGCCCTCCTGTAATCAGGAGTCATTAGGGGTAATGACTGGATTGTTCATGTCTTCTTCCCTTCTAGATGATGATAATCCTCCTGTGTCATTTGTGAAGTTTTCTCCCAATGGAAAGTACATACTAGCAGCAACATTAGATAAGTAGGTTCTTCTTCATTTTTGTTGTCCATACTCACCGTCATTTTCTTTGAGCGAAAGAAACTGCTTGTTATGAAGAAGGATGCAGAACTAGTGTCAGTATCAAATTGTTGAGACTTGTTCATCAACAGGCCGTTCCCTCATAGTTCACCCTTTTTGTGCTTCCCTAACTGATAATGGTAAAGAAGACGACAAACTGAAGAAAATTAAGGTCATGCTTTTAATAAAAATATTTATACAATAATATACATCAAAAGGATGATAATGTGGCCCTGTGTTATAGCTAATGTTGTTACCTGCTCAGTATTTATGAGTGTATTGTTACTGGTATTTGCAGCACCTTGAAACTATGGGATTATAGCAAAGGAAAGTGTCTGAAAACTTATACTGGTCACAAGAATNTTATGTACATACGTCTTCTGGACAGGAATGATATCTTTTAGTGGGTGGCAATCCGTTGATATTAATTTCTTTAAAATGTTTTGGTCTTGTTTATTTATAAGATTCTTGATAAAAACTGGAAATGAAATAAATGAGTGGTCCTCAATCTACAATCTACATGTGTGTGTATTGTTGAAATGTATTATTCACAATGAACAACAATAATAAAGTTTGACCAGACTAGAATAATATTAGTGGTTCAGACGTCCAGTTTTTATACTTTTATAAAAAATCTGCCCCAGCACGAGTACACAAGGTTGACAATGTTAAAAAAGGAAAAGCATGGATATGACAGGTAAAAGGAAGTGTATGAGGAGCATTCTTAGGTTTTAGTGTGTGAATTTAATGTATGAAAGTTAGAGTTAGAGACGTGGTCTTTTCCTGTGGTTTGTTGTCCTCAGTCTTATTTCATACTGCCCTCCTGTAATCAGGAGTCATTAGGGGTAATGACTGGATTGTTCATGTCTTCTTCCCTTCTAGATGATGATAATCCTCCTGTGTCATTTGTGAAGTTTTCTCCCAATGGAAAGTACATACTAGCAGCAACATTAGATAAGTAGGTTCTTCTTCATTTTTGTTGTCCATACTCACCGTCATTTTCTTTGAGCGAAAGAAACTGCTTGTTATGAAGAAGGATGCAGAACTAGTGTCAGTATCAAATTGTTGAGACTTGTTCATCAACAGGCCGTTCCCTCATAGTTCACCCTTTTTGTGCTTCCCTAACTGATAATGGTAAAGAAGACGACAAACTGAAGAAAATTAAGGTCATGCTTTTAATAAAAATATTTATACAATAATATACATCAAAAGGATGATAATGTGGCCCTGTGTTATAGCTAATGTTGTTACCTGCTCAGTATTTATGAGTGTATTGTTACTGGTATTTGCAGCACCTTGAAACTATGGGATTATAGCAAAGGAAAGTGTCTGAAAACTTATACTGGTCACAAGAATGAAAAATACTGTATATTTGCTAATTTCTCAGTCACAGGAGGCAAGGTAACCATTACTTTTACTCAGTTGTACCTTGGCCAGATAATGGCATATTATCACCCCCTAAAAGTCACCAACTACTGTAATCACAAAAAACCCAACCTTTTCATTTGACGGTAGTTCATTGTAGCACAGGATAACTGAAAAGGTTTGCATTAAAGGTTTGCAGTGCATTTTGCATGAAACGTGTATTTGCAGAGTTCAAACTGGCAATGAAAGGAAAGATGTAGGAATATCATGAAATGTTGTTTGCATTCAGTGAATGCCTCTATTTCTCCAGTAGGGGTCCCACGTGTGACTGCCTGATAAGGATGTCATTCTAGTCTTAGACAATGATTGATCAAAGGGGACCAAAAAAGTTAAAAATCCCAATTGGCAGAATAGAAACCAGTTGGTTATTTCCAAGTGTGGATGAGGTATGAACTCTGGACTTCCCAGAACAACCACAGCCAGTTTACAGAATGGGACTAGAACCCAGAACCTCTGGATTGTTTGTTGTTTTTCATTTGTATGTAAATTCCCTAAAGTGTTCTGCTAATAAAGCATAAAAATCTGTCCGACACGCTGACCACTCTGCCATATAATCTCCTTAACTGAATTCATATGCACAAGTTCGATTTCAAAGAACAGTTGAGAAATGTTATTAAGTGTTCACCGAAATCTGGACTGACAAAAAACTAACCTTTTTTTTACTTTATCTGTAGAAAATTGAATTTGCACTTGCCTCTTTACTTGTATTTTCAGTGGATAGTGTCAGGATCAGAAGATAATATGGTGTATATTTGGAACCTGCAATCCAAGGAAGTGGCACAGACATTAGAGGGTCACAGTGGTATGTGATTTTTTTTTTGGAGGGGGAGGGGAGGGGGGGGGGGACAGAGAGGTCAAAACCTTCTGCCTCCCTTACTTTGCATTCGCAGCTCCCGGCCTTTATTTCTTGGTTACTTCCTTTTAGCCTTTTTTTTTTAGCGAGGTATCAAGCGCTCCCTCTTTTCTCCCTTTTTCCAATATCGTGTTGTTACTTGTGGTCAGAAGTGTGTTCTGACAAACAACATATTTTATTGTAGTTGGGGCTGGCAGATCGCGGGTAGGGTGCAATTAAGTTTGAGGGTCAGGGGCTTTGTTTTTTGTGTTTTTGGGGGGGGGGGGGGGGGGGGGGGACAGAGAGGTCCAAACCTTCTGCCTCTCTTACCTTGCATTCGCAGCTCCCGGCTCTTATTTCTTGGTTACCTCCTTTTAGCCTTTTTTCTTCAGCGAGGTATCAAGCTCCCTCTCATTTCTCCCATTTCCCACTCCTCTAGAACTCCCACTTCTCGCTCTTTCCATTCCCGCTTCCCGTACCTCTCCCGCTCCTTATTCTCCCAACCTTCTGTACTCCCCTACTAATACACTGTCTTCACAATAGCCTTTCCACAGACGTTTTTTCTCTTTTTTTTTTGTGGGGGCGGGGGTGGGGAGGGTTTGGGAAGTGCAAGAGCATGAGCAAAGCGCGAGTGCCCACCCCACCGTCTTGCGTTGGCGGTCAATATTCCCCACCCTTTGGAGCAAATAATAGTTTCTTAGAGACTAGTACTCGCTATTATGGTTGTTGTCTCAAATACGTGGTGAAATAATCCCTACCCTCATCTTCGTGATGGCGTATCCACAGTATTTCTATTTTACGAGCGGCGCAAAGGTAACTTAGTTTTTCTGTTAAAATTGGTGTTTTGAATTGCAGATGTGGTCCTTTGCTCCGCTTGCCATCCAACAGAAAACATCATTGCATCTGGTGCTCTGGAAAACGACAAAACTATAAAAATCTGGAAATCTGACTCATAGCAGACTACTTGCAGATCCCGCCGGCATTCATTGTTAATATGGAAATATGTACAGTCTACAGCCTCACCAAACTCAAAATTCTTGAGAACTTCTGCATATATGTTATGTGTAGATGCCTTTTACATAGGACTTCTAGCAGCAGGTCTTGCTCTAGACTTTCCCTGTATATTATAGGGACATGAGGGTCTGAAAGACCGAGTTATATGGAATCCCAAGTTTGGACATTACTAATAAGTAATGAAAATTACATAAAACCATCTTATCCTTTTTTTGAAAGTTTAATTATCGATGCTTCTGTTCTTAACCGTGTTTTCTTCACAGTTTGTGTGGTACTGCTGAAAATAGTGAGTGTAAAGTTCAAGACATTTTCCTCGCTTGTAATCGATTCATTTAATCTTTCAATCGTTATGATTTATTAAGCAAACATTCTTACAGTAAGGAGAAATTAAATGCTGATCGCTATAAGGAACAGCGCAGACTGCTCCCTCTAATATTAGCCGGCTCAGCTCTAGGAACAGGGAGAAATGAAAGTGCGCGGGGAACGATGGGAAGGGGAAAGAGAGGACGTGAGGCTTGGCGAGAGTTAGCCTGCGTAGCTGGCGGTATTGTGTGGGTGCGAGATTAAAGTTTTTGCGGCGAAGCCGTGTTCCAAAAAAAGGGAGTAGGGACGAGGCGGTATGTCTCGCGGCTTCGCCGCTCGTCACGGCTCCGCCGTCAAATCTTACTCGACTACATTACAACGGCTCCGCCGCCAAATCTCACTCGACTACTACACAATACCGCCAGCTACGCAGGCTAGGCGAGAGTGCGCCCTCTTCCCATCGCGCGCTTACTATTTTTTGCGCCTGCTCTTGTGGGATGGCTGCGAAGGCGCCTTTCTTAGCGAGCATGAGCAAAAAACTCAGTTCGGCTCTCCTGGGTATTGTCTTTACGGCCGAAACAAAAATAAGAACCCTGGGGACGAGATGTACAGGAAAGAAGTAGTCGCGCTTGATAAATGCCAGACAGTCACACAGTTTACTCTAATACTGTAAACCCTCTATTACGAGGTTGATGGGGGGGGGGTATTTAATTTAGCAACGATGATGGTATTACTTCTTCTTAATGAACAAGAACGCAAAGTAGAAAAGCTCAGGAACATGAAGGTAGAGGTCATGCAGCCGAAGGTCAAAAACAAATCCGAACTTCCAGCACACGAATAAACCATACCGGATCAGTCCACATGAAGTGTATCATTTAAAAAATAATGGAGGAGGGGAGGGGAGGGGAGGGGGTTTTAAGAGTTAGGCGGAGGGGCTTAATAACTTTTTTTTCCCTGAAGACAGTGAAAAAGGGGGACTTATTAGAGGGGGGGGGGGAAGGGTCTTAAAAGAAGATTTTCGGGTTATACAAGAATCCGATATACCGTATTCATTTTATGAAGGCCGGAGGCTGGTCACTGTCTTAATAGCCTTGAAAAGGAGAGAATGCAGTAAGGAGACAAGATAGTGGATGTCCCACTAGAATGGCAAGATTGATTTTATTAAGCCCTTATCAAAGTAACTATCCGCGACTAACATAGTTGTCCTTTGCCATATCCCTTAAGTGGTGATCTCTCATCGTTTAGTCAGATTATGTTCACGCAGGAGCCTCTATCTCTCCTATAAACCCTTGGGGTCAACTCTTTCCCGATTTACTATATTTATATAAAAAGCTTTCACGGAATATTTGTCATGCCTTTATAGTAGTACCCAATTAACGCCCGGCACGGAACCGGTCAGTAATAGTGAACCGCGTTTTCATTAAAAAAAAAAAACAGAACCCTGGGAACGAGGTTAAATGGCACGTTCTTCAGCTACTCATTTTTGCGATGTTTCTGAAAAACCCTCATCCTAAAGGTGGTCGCCGTCGCTTACGAGAGGTTCTACTCAGAGCGTTTTGTCCGTGAAAATTTTGTTGTTTTTGATAGATTGTGGTCCCTTGCTTGCCGGAGGTGGTCGCACATGGAGGTTATACTGTATGCGAGCTCAATGTACGAGACAAGCCTTTTCTCTCCCCCCCCCTCCTCTCGTGCGATGTTCTCGAGCTTAGTGCTCTCTCGCGCCACAACCTGCCTAAGCACTCCTAATAACGCCTTTTTGTGCAGACAAGCAAGCGCTGGGTTTAAGCTAGACTACGAGCAGTCCCCCACTTTTCCTCAGTGATAGTAGAGTGAGCGAAACGCGAGCGCGCTTGAAAATCACGCCACGCGGTTTTACAGGACCTTTTCACTCACACGCCCGCACACCCGTAGTCTGCTACACAGCCGTTTTTAGTGTCGTCACGCAATGCTCCTCCCTACAAAGTGGGGAAGAGCGTTGCGTGACGCCACTAAAAACGGCTGTGTAGCAGACTAGCACACCCGCAAATTACACCCTTCCGACCCAAAAGCAAGCTTCCACGCTTCCACGCACGCCCTTCAGATTTTTTAAAACTTCGAGTAAGCCAATATGAACTTTGCACTTAACTTTAAGCTGGCATGACGCTTACAGTAACTACGGGCTTCGATAAAGCTATAGTCAAAGCCATGGCAGGGGTTGTTTACCTGCGTAACTGCATTTGCATGGGCAAACCGCTCGGTTCAAGGTTTTGGCAGTTTATCACTTTGTACAATTATCAATTCCATTGTGCTATTGCATTTAATATGCGTAGCCCCCCTGCCCAGTTGAGGACTTACCTTTTCTTCTTACCTTTGTAGAATTTCATTAAATTTCATTCACCCCTGAAGACGTCCATAAAGTATGGGTCTTACCCCACAAGAACATGGGTTTACCTCTGAAGAATTTCGTGAAAAGGTGATTTTCCTTGTTCACCCCTGAAGATTTTGCTAAAAACTAAAGCTCCGTCCCCAATTCCATATTTTTCAGACATCTCCCACAGAAACATTAAAAAAAGTCGTGTTCCATTTAAGTTTTCAAGAAACTTTTGGTAAATGCTGTGGTAAGGCCAATAATGAGACATCTTGTTAAGCTAATATGAACAAATAATTGCTGTCCCGGGGTCCCAGTCACGCATGCGCAGAAATAGCGTGACCCCCGATAAGCTCAAACGTGAAATTATTTTATTGTGAAGAATGAATGCAATATTTTTGTGTTCTTTTACGTCAGTTGGTCCAAAGGAATCCTTGGGTATGTGAGCAGTTCTTCGGATAAAACATTCCAGAGCATTTCTCGTGAAATAGTTAGACAGAATGGCTCAGCTGTCGTCAAGTTCGAGCTCGGCTGGTCAGACAAGGGGAGGTCGTCGTCGAAAAAGACCTCATCCTCCTGTGTATGGCGGAATTATGAATTCTTTTAGCGACAGGAACAGTGATTTTGTTTGGTAAGTAGAGCGACTGTTTTAAAATTGTCGAAAGACTTCGAGAAAAGAATGTTCTTAACAATAACAAATTTGAATAATTTTACGTTAAACCTTTTGTTGTGAGCTGTGGTGAAGGCATTTCTTTACCTGATGTGATTAAGTTACGAGAATCTCCCTTACCATAAACCGTGTCTTTGCTTTACAGTCCCATATGCTTTGACACCATTGATGAAGCGTTTATGACTAAATGTGGACATACTTTCTGGTAAGGATTGACATCTTCTTGCATTCCTTTCCCTTGCTAGTTAATTTTTTATTTAGGATACTGTTAATAATATCCTGAGTGAATGGTGAATAAAGTAATGATGGGGCAGAAGAGCTCCAGGTGGTGATTTAATATAAATTACTGCTTGACACAGATAATATTCACAACAATAATTGTCAATTTACTTGCCCTCTCACTCCTAAACTATGTTATGACAAGATTAGTTGTCACTCTATAAACTAAATCAGAACATTTTTGTGGTACTCTTTTTTTTCTCAGGATTTTACAAAAAGAAATTTGAAATTTTTTGAAATTATTAGTTTGGCTACTATTGGAAGTGAAAGGGTTGTAATAAGGAGCTTAAGCAAGGACAACAGCAACGAAACAAGAATGACAAAAAAGCAATAGGTTTCTGTCGGCAAAAGAACAACTCTGCACGCTTTTTTGTACATTTCTTTGCCATCGCTGCATCACTACGATTTGATAATGCCTGATTTCACGTTTTGTGGAGGACGTGAACACAGGACAAAAACTTTCTTTTTCTTTTCCTGAACTGAAATTGCCAACATTTCATGAATTGAACGAGATGGAATGAGCGTGACAAAGTTTGAATCAGTGGAACTTTACTTTTTAAGTGATGTTTTCATAGCCATTGCCGTCCTTATTGCTTGAGCTCCCTGACAATAAAGCTATGCCCTCATTTGTCTTCTTGCTCTAAGAGAGGTGATGGTGATGAATAAGTGATGACTTATAAACTTCATGGTACAGTGCTCTCAAAGTGACATTTCTCTCTACTGTAACCTCCTTCCTGGGAGCGTGTGCAGAATGCAAGGTTGCTTTTGAGGGAGCAGTGACTTGACAACTTGTTAGCTTGCCAGTCAGCTTGACTTTAATGGCTCAAGAGCTTGATAGTGTGACATTTGGCTTCGTTGACTAGCTGAAAATATACCTTAATAGTTGTTTCTGTGTCCTGTCCTTTTGAGTAACTCTGTTAATCCACTGATACTGATATAGGCTGATTAGGCCTCTAGCAAAGATACATATCAATGCCCCAAGAGATTTGAAGTTTAAATTTATCTTTGAAGTTATAAATAAATATAAGTAATCACTCTGGTCTTCCATATTCAGAATATTGTTAAATTCATAAAAATTTTTTAGAAGAAACAACAATAATAATAATTATTGTAATATTAATAATAATAGTAATAATAATAATATTATTATTAATATTAATAATAATAATATTATTATTACTATTATCATTATTATTCCATTTGCAGTAATGGTTTAGCTTAAGCTTGAGCTTGGTCAGTTGTCTTCAGCATTTTCCAAACTTTCTGACATTTTCTTGAGCAAAAAATTATTGTTGCCAATAGTTGTGGTACTAATAACTTGTGAGATATGAGTTAAAAATGGTGAAGGTATGGTATTTCTCACTGAACTCTAAAATTATGAGAGTGAATAATTCAGACTGTCACCTCCTTCTACCCTCACTCTCAACCAACCTCACTCAAATTTACATAGACAGATGTTAAATGATTGGTTTTACTTTTTAGTTATCAGTGTATTACTCGAAGCCTTGAAGAAAGCAACCGGTGCCCCAAATGTAACTACATTATAGACAAAACTGATCAGATTTTTCCTAACTTTCTTTGTAAGTATTTTGCAAAAAGTTTTTTAAACTATGTTATGGTAATTATTTAAGGATAACTTGTACATAGATCTTACACATTGGCACATTTAGCACACTTAAGTGTGCTATCTCTGTAATGCTATTATATAACAAGATTATTTTTCAGAGAAAATTGACCTGACCAACTAGGGATAATTTTCCCAACCAAATTGGGATTAAATCTAGTAAGGCAAGAGTATCATCATCTTTAAGCCATAGATTTTCTTTAGCAATTTAAATAATGGCCACTATTTATTTTATTTAATTATTATTTTGCATATCTATCAAGGATTTCCTAAAAATTTAAATTCGATAATTTACCACTTGAGTTGCAACCAAGGTATGATTAAAAACATATTGTAAAAGAAAAGAGAGAGGAAAATGCTGCATCATGAAGGGAAGGTACTTCAAGTGTGATATTTCAAGAGCCTTTTCTGATACGCTGCCTAGAACAACTTGTTTGAGAACAGATGTCAAAAGGGGGTGCATGTTATGATGCTTGAGCATTGTGGGTGGGATTTGGGGGTGTATTAAATTTTAAAGTGATCAATTCTTGCAGCTGTGTATTATCCCATCAAATGCTTGGGTTTCTCAGAAAAATAATTCAAAGTGTGTGATCTACAGATGTATAATATTCTTGCATGACGCTGCACTTAATATGAATTTGCTTCTTTTATTTGTGTTTTTTATGTATTGTTTGAGTGTCATTTTATGTAATTTTTGTGATTGCAGTAAATGAGCTTGTTCAAAAATTCAAGGAAAGAACAGGACAAAAGAAAAGCAAGATGCTTCCAGATTCTCAGGTAAGTTTTCAATCTTGAACTCAGTTAACTGAAACGTAAAGCATGTAGCTCTAACTTTGGTTTTGGAGGAAAATTGTCTGACATTCATCTCACTGATGTAATGTTTTCAGCTCTACTTTTGAAACAAAACTAAACCACAACATGTGCAACAGGGGGGAATGTTGAGAGAGAACATAGTAAATTTATGAAGGAGTAATGATAATATTATTATTATTTCATGTAGGTGTAAAAGCATTAGGCACCATCAACTTCTAATGAACCTGAACCAGGAGGCTCTAGCAAAAATTACTGTATCCCAGGCATTTGTAAAGCAGTTGAACATACAAGTCATGGACATGTGATGTGGCCTCCTTTGTATTAAATAATATTATATTTTTTTAAGCTTCAGGTATCAGGTGGTGGAGTTCAAGAAATTTTATCTGGTGAAAATGAGTGGGACTTAGCAGGTAAAGGTCTCAGCTTTTAGAATCCTTAGTTTGTACAAAAAAGGTTGCTTTACTGTTCTAACTGTGATTAGTAAATATGTGTCAATGGTTACTGTAATACATGTAACAAGAACGATTGAGCAATAATGGTTAATGAGTTTTATTGTATACATTCAAAATATTTTGTTGTTTCTGATTGGCTCTAATCCCCCTGCTACTCAGCTAATTCTTCATAACCAGCCTATTTGGAAGCCCAATAACCAACTGATTTGATGGTATATTGCCCCACTATATAATAACAACTTTGTTGTTAGGCAGTGACACAGCAGCCTGGCTGTTTATGCATAACTGAGAACAAACAAAGAGTTCACAGCTTTTCAATGACATATTAGCCAAATTTCTGACTAAAAGTGAATGGAAGAAATGAAAGAATATCCCCCCCAAAAATGCGTGATAGATGTCATCAACTTTTTGTTTGAAGAGTATCTGCAAGAAAGGAGTATCTGGTTAAATCTTGAAACCATGAGAGAAACAGACAAATGTTTTGATTAAAGTCCATAAGGATGCAAGGTTGTTAAGAACGTAGAAACATTCTGAATGAATACCAAAACAATGATTATTAAATTCAGGTTTTGGGAGGCTGTTATCCACTTTGATCTTTGGCCTTGGTGGGTAACATTCTCCTTGATTGCATAAATAATCCTTCACATCATACTCAGCCTCATTCAGTGGTTGTTACGTAATTCCCAACTTGAGTTATTCTGTTTGGAATTAGGCAAGCTACAGTGTAAGTGATAAAGAACATGTATTTTTATTGTTAAAACCTCTACTCTTTGACATGTAGATGTTAATTACTTGCTGGATGTATTGACACAGAAGAAACAACAGCTTGAAGCAGTAAGTATGAAACAAAGTCGGTTTTTGGGACATGAGATGTTACCACAGCAAATCAGTATCATTTTATAAAGTGGTAAATGACAAGATTAGAATTATTTTTTAAAACCAAACTACAGTTTGTATAAACTGTTTGAGAGCAATAATTATTTTCTTTGTATGGCCAGTGCAGTGCATGTACATAGTCATACCACCCCCACCTGGGCAATAACCAACAGAAAGAACTGTACAGTACACACTTTAGTGAAAAGTTAGATGCTATTATTCTAACTACAGAGTTGTCATCAAAGCAGTGTAGCAATGTTGTTATTGCCAAGTTATTTTGACAAGAAATTCTAGGATGCATCACATATTAAAATAGTACTGAAAAAAAATTAAGCCGAGAGGTTGCTCTTGTGAGTTTACCTATGTCAGTAATAACAAGATAACAATTTTTCTTGCATTTGTATCACCAAGACTCCACATACTTATATTCCATAATGAATAAGTTGAGAGAATTTGGAAACAAGATCCAAGAATTTTTCCTCTGGAAAAAAAGATATTGTGAATACAAATTGATACAGGACTTTATGAATCAATTTAGTTGGTTGTAATATTATTGTAGGACTTTGTTTCTTTGTTTTGACCACCTTGCAAATGTGTTAAATATTATTTTATTATTCTATTAATTATAAATCTCAATTCTGAATGGCTATCAGCTGCCCTAAATTTTAGGACTAATATGTCAGTTTAAAGGACAGTACGTGTCATGCCGAAGTAATTGGACAGTACACACTGTTGCACATGAATAGAATAGAAAAGCCAGAAGACTCAGCATACAAATTTGGCCTGAACTCTTGAAATAACTAGTTTTTTTCATCTTGAAAAAGCTTAAAAGATCACAAATTTTGTTGTTTGGTCATTGTATTTCAATGGTTTTTAACTTTATAGGATAGTCAAGCAGTCCAACATGAGCTTTTGAAGGATTTCCTCTCACAGGTTAAACGCCACAAGCAAGAGGTACATTGTTTTTTTCTTTCTTAGGCTTGAGCTCCTGCCCAATCATTGAGTTATTATAAATATCATTATTTTTAGCAACTTGATCAGCTGACAAGAGAAGTGAAACTCATTGATGAAGACATGAAGAGAGTTACAGAGATGATAACTAATCACAACCGGCAGTATCCATTGACAGTTCCTTTACTGACTCTTCCCGGGGCTGAAAGACTTTTGGTTGGTGAAGTGGTATGTTTAAAAGGGAAAGGATTTCCTTCCTACCCTTTCATCTTACATTTCCTAGGTTGTTTCATTGACCTTTATACAGTATTGACCAGTTCAGGAAATAAGAGTGTGTAATTTGTTCCCAAGAGATCAGTCACGTGACAAGCTCATTAAATTTTTTGACTCAAAACTTGGTGTTGAAACTTGAAAGCCTCCTTTTGAGGCTCTATATCTAGACTTATTTCAATAATGAAAAATTAAGTCCTGAGCCAAACATTGTAAGAACAGCTACACGAGTAACTGCCATTATATTTTGTCATGAGTGGTACTGTGCCTGTAGAGTTACCAGCCACATGTTAGCACTAATTGGTTCCCTTGCCTCCCGGAAACTCTAATGTCATTTGCTTCCATTCCACTTTGTTGTCATAGTTTATCTGTTAAGCTGGTGTTAAGTCTTCCACTCCTGATAGTGGCAACATGTGGAAAAAAAGAAGAAATGACACCTTCAATTGGATGGCGACATAAAAGGATTTCATCCACTGATTTAAAAGTTGCAGTAACATTTCATCCAATCATAACATGGTCTAGGGGTTAAAGAGTTAAAATAACGTACTTGATTTTTTGTGCTTCATTTCTTAAGGAAAGTACACTTATGAATCTGTATGGGAACAGGGAGGGTGTTAACCAAAATTCTCCTGTGGTAAAGATATTGTTATTTTTTAAGCTAATACAGTGTTATATCATGGTGTCATTATCTACGTACACTCATTCATTACATTTCAAGAAACTGAAACCTTTTTTCATTTCTTTTTACAGGATCATGCTGTACCAACAACTCCAACAGCCAAAACGGCACCTGTTTCAGTAGGTTCAGACGTTGAACCTTCAACCAGGTGACTATCTTGAATTTCGGTGTTTGTGGTACATAGCAACACAGTAGTGATGAAATGGCAATGTTTCCATAGGGAAGGGTAGGCCACGCTGAAATTGCATTACTCAGAAAACCAACTTAGTACCAAGAATGCATAATTATGAGAAACAATCACTGTGTATTTTGCTTCCATGTATATGCCAAAAAAAGAAAACTGCAAATGTTTAAACCCCTTGACAGTCAATTAACCACCTACTTACCTACCTATCTCCACTCATGATGCTTCATTACCACATGTAAGGCCTCCACACTTCCCTGCTAACCTGCTGTATCCCTCAGACAAGCTCTTGCTTGATCCCTACCCCACCTCTGCTCTCTCCACAAATCTTGGGGTATTTGGCTAGCCTCTTTATTCTTTCCACTGCTATCCTGAAAAGTGTGTCAAGTGTTTCTGGTCTCAGTAGTGATATTTTTTATGGGTGTGGGACATAAACCTATTGCCCAACCCCCAACCTGGAAGGCCAGTCGAACATCCACAGATATCTGGATAGTTGCAGATGCAGTCTGGTATTGCTGTCCATGCGTGCTGGTGTTTTGTACTAGAAGAGTTAATGAAGTTTCCCTCAAGTGAAGTTTAGAAACTACTGTTGTGTTTGTCTTGGAATGCATTGGTGATGTTCTACCTTCATGTTTCAAACGCTTGACATGGGAGCCTTTGCATTAGGGTAGGCTTAAGATATCACATATACATATACCTGTGCATTATGCAATATTTTTTGTGTTTCAGTCATGATGACTCATGTGACCAAACAGAAGCAGCTCAAGATGGTTTTAATGGAAGCCAGCATGTATGTAGTATAACAATAACATTTGATACTATTGTCATGTAGTCATTGATGATTAAAAAAATGGCCAGATGTTGTGACTGACCCAGGGCTTGAAAAGAGACAGCCCTGTGAACATGCTAAAATGTATGTTGTAGGAACTACAAGAATGCTTCAATTAACACACCCTTGAGGCTAAAAAATAGTAAGTTAAGCACTGTCCTTTCGTTAATTGCCCTCCTCCTCCCTCTGCTCAATAAAAATCACTTACAAAAAAATCAGATACAAGCAGAATAGAAGGGATTTATTCCCAGAACTCTTGGGAACTTTGAGTGCAATTACATACAGATTTGTGTTTTGTCTTACAGGCAGGTTCAAGTTTTTCTTATTTACTGTTACCGTTTGTTTTGACTTAAAATAAGAACAATAGCTGTGGTCACACTACAGACTTTTACCTAGGTAAAAGCAATTTACCTAGGGTAAATTCATCTCTGGTTTTGTTTTACCTAGGTGAAAAATTCTGGGAAGGTCACACTACTGATATCGGCTCCCAAGGTTTTCACGCCAGTTGAATTTTTTGGAGCGTAAATTTAAGAAGGCAAGATGCGCAGGGATCTAGCTGAACAAAGAGATGTTTTTTTTTCTTTTATCTTGCTGTTATTTCTTACGCTAATTCAACGTGCAAGGTTAAGAAGACGAAGACGTAGACCACTCGTGCCCCCAAAATTTCTTTCTCAGCGTGAGCTATGTCCGGTTCTCTCATCAAGACCTTCGCCGATGAGCGTCGATTGGCTAGCAACCTCGGTATTTCATTTTTCCCTAGCTATTGCTTTGGGGTAGCTGTCAAGGGAAACTCTATTGTTCTCGAGACATATCCAAGCCCCAGACGATAAAATTTCCCCAAGGTAAGTTACCTAGGGAAAAATCGGTCACACTTTAAAAATCAAGTTTCCTTAGGTAAACTGTCAACAAGTCGAATTTACCTAGGTAAAAAGTCTGTAGTGTGACCACAGCTGATAATTTCAATATTTGGGGGTCTAAATTTGGAAAAAAAAATGAAGCAAGTCCCCCCACCACTTCAAATTAGTGCCCCTTCTCAACCCCGAAATTAAAAAAAAAGTGCCTCAGGTGCTAATTCGAGCATTCGTAGTATACCGTAAGATTCCGAAAATAAGCCCCTCCATGTATAAGCCAGTCCAAATATAAGCCCCCCAAAATCGTAATGCAAAAAACCCTCGGTTAAATCGCCCCTCCAATTATAAGCCCCCCGGGGGGCTTGTACTTGGAATTTGCCCTCCAATACAAAGTTAAACAAAGCAAAAATGGTAAATTTCCTTCCCACTGCAAGCTACCCCAATCGATTTTGAAACGCAAATTTCCCACCGTACATAAGCCCGCCAACAATAAGCCCCTCATTAAAAGGGCCTTTGAAAAATATAAGCCCTGGGGCTTATTTTCGGAATTTTATGGTAACTTTTAACACTTATGGTACATCTTTGTCTGTCATAGGGAGCAAAGCATTTGTTATGCAGTACTAGTTTGGCTTCAAGAAGGAAAAGAATTCACCAACACTTTGATGATCTTGAAAGATGCTACTTCTCCATCAGACAGGGTGATTTGCCAAGTAAGAAACTTTGGATTTGAAATATTCAAAGAAAAGCCATTGTTGAGGCCTTGTTGAAGAAAAATTCCGACAAACAAAAAAGCCTTGAAACAGTGACAAAAGGTAGATGAAATGGTGGCAAACAATGCAAAGATGTTTTGCAATTGTGAAAGCGATAAAGATAAAAGCAAATATAGTAGTAAAAATACTGACAGGGACATAACTTTTGTCTCAGTGCTTGAAACAACTTGTTTTGAAATTGAGACTTATTGTCCTCCTTAGTGGTAAGTCACAATGTGTGAGTTAACTAGTTTTTTGTTTCTATGTTTAATTTGTGTGTATTCAATGTCTGTCAGGTGACGCTGGAGCATCAGATGCCTTGGATTATTTCACTGAAAGCCTCGCCAAGTTTACAAAATTCAGTGGTTTCCGTTGCTTAGCAACACTTAGTTATGCCAGTGACATTTACAGTTCATCTAGTATTGTTTCAAGGTGAGACCGTACGTCACGGTATGACCCAGCTGCTGATGACAATTATTAATTATAACGCTCAAATAGAGATACTGGCTGAAAAATCTGTTGTTTTTACGAGATAGTGAGATTATTGAAGCTAGAATTGCACACAGTCTGGATGATCAAGCGTATTTGCTGGCTTCGTGAGAAAGATCTTTGTCACCCTGATTTTCAGCAGCCAGTTTGTTGTGATAACTTCTTAACTTTCTTTGCAGTTCAGGCTATAAAGATCTGAGAGTCTTTTGTTATAGTTATGGTTGTTAAATTTTTCGAGTGAAAAGAAGTGAAAAAAAGGAATTTATTAGTCCCCTCCTATTAAGCATTTTTCTAACTTTAACAATGTGTTGTTTTCTTTTTCCATACAGTATTGAATTCGACCGTGATTTTGACTACTTTGCGATTGCTGGAGTCACAAAGAAAATTAAGGTACTATATGAGAAACAAACCATTTTGTTTTTAATTTCGTTGTCGGGAGACATCAAGGGCAGAAAGTCTCTTTTTTACATCAATCTATGCGTTTATAGACTTGCAGAAGGTATATATCTCAATTCCAAGAATCAGTTTTTGCTAGTATGTCATTCGTCTGGCTATCAGGGCTTTAAGGGTTAATTACCGGGTTGCGAGAGGTGCTGTGGCTTTATACACGCTGTTTCTAGTAACATCGAGTGTGGGAAGCTGGTATTAAGAGGTGGAGATGGAATTTAATTTGATGTGCAACAGAAAACAGTAAAAGCGTTGACCTGACTAAAAGAGTAACTGCGGGATGATAAAAATTGAGGGTGCCTTTCTTTGTGATGATCCGAATCAGGATCAGCGATCTTAGATAATTCGGAAATTGAGCAACAGTGAAACTGATGAATTCTTTCTTAGTGTGGATTCATGATACGAGGGATCTCTTCTTTTAGTCAAACGTCTATAATTTTGTCAGGCATTTGGGTGTTGTCAGTAACAGTGTGCTGTGCACATTGCGAAAGTTGACTGTATTGGAGAGCTTTGCAAGTTTGCCTTATGCCTGTGCTGCCGTCGACAAACTTAGATACTTGAGTTTAACTTTTGTGTATTATGTATTTTTTTTGCTCCACATCAGGTTTTTGAATATGGAACAGTGATAAGAGATGTTGTGGATATTCACTGTCCTGTTAATGAAATGGTTTGCAATTCAAAAATAAGGTAGGATAAGTTTATTTACAGTGACATATCATAGGCTTCTGACTGTTACATTTATGGATGAAATGTTGATAATGCATTTTCTCAATTTAGTTGTGCAAATTAAGTAAACGTTGAACATGAGCAGCAAAAAGAACCAACTCAGTCTGACTTTTCAGAGATCTAAAGGCCTTGATTTTGCCTAG